GGTAAGGGACCATGTCCCTAGCAAGATGGTATTTTGGGCTGGACTCAGGAATGGTCGGAGTCTCCACCTCGACGTCATCTTCATCTGAAGAGCTTTACCATTGGTGACCTTGTTCAAGAGTCCTTCCTCATCTGAAGAGACTTCAACATAGGCAGGCTTCACCCTTGACTTGCCCTTTGCAGCTCCTTTCTTAGTGCGAGCATCATAGAAATCAGCTTGCCTATATCCAACAAAACGTACAATCAGCATGTCATGACTAGCACGGTCTTTCCAGTGGGAGTAGATTGCAGTGATCGTGTCCTTTTGCAGGTGGGAAGGATCCCTGATGACAACATTCTCAGGAATGCATCCTGAATCAAGGTAGTGAGTGGAATCAGTCGACATCTCACCCCAGGGCACCAGAGCCCTAGGATTGTTGGTAATAACAGCTGGGAAAAGTGAGTAAATGATACAATCACATAAGACAAATCAACTCACCGTAGGCCTTTTGAAAGACAGCCCGAACAAGCTGGTGTCTGTGCTTCAGCTTGAGACATACAAAGCCTGTGGGTAGGCAAGGATAACCATCATCATCAACCTCAACAGTGAGATCTGGGAGATTATTTTCATTGTCATCCTCTCCATCACTACCTCTCCATCGGCTGACAGACTTTTAGCTACCATATTAAATTAAAAAATTAAAAGAGACATTTACCATATTCTCCTTCGAGAAGCCAGTTGGCAAGACGATCTTGAGCATGTTCTGCCCATTTCCGATTATCTTTGGTCGCCTGAGTAAAAGGTTTTTTGGCCTTTTGTGGCGAAGTCTCCCAGCTTTAGAAACAAGTTAGTCATGATTAACAATATGAAGCATCAAAAACACTTACACAGTAGTTACAGAAGCTTTTCCCTCACCTCGGTCATGGGCTGTAAGGATGACGACATGCAATCCCATGGTTCTCCGGACCATGTCCATAAAGTCCTCCATCATTTTTTTCTGGTTACGGGTACGGTATCTATTGATGTATTGTTGAGTTATATAGCATGTATGCCAATAGAATCTTGGGAAAAAAAATACCTGTCCTTGGTATCTGCAGGAGGTCCTTCCTGATTCCATTTTCCTGCAACTCGCTCAAGCTCCTTCTTCACCTCAGGGGACATGGCCTGGTGCCACATGCGGGCCAATCTTGTCCTCTGACCCATAGACTTTGGGTTGGAGGTATCTCTGTGCTGCTTGTCATATTCTGCAAATTCATCCTTAAATAATTTTTGGACGACATCAAAACCAGAGAATTCTGTCTTGTACTTCCCAGCATCCTCAGGCTTATCATCTTCCCTCTGTCTCACCATCTCTACAGTAACAGCATCTGGAGCAGATGTGTCCTTAGTTCCTCCCTCAATAATCTCTTCCTCTGCCTTGCGATCCTCATTATCTTCCAGGAAGTCCAAATAATAGGCACGAACAGCCTGTATTGATTAGATTAGTATAGAACACAATTATAAAAGCTCACCTTGCGCAGATTTTTCTCAGGAAGCATGACACAAGGGTCTTTGGCTGCTTCACTGGTGCCTATAGCATCTTTGATTGTCTTGAGGATGCAAGCCCTGATGCCAGAATTTCCTTTAGCTGCTACAAAGGAATCTTTGTGTTCATTCAACACATTGCTAAAAACAAAAGTCCAGCTGGCCATTATATCTAACAAATAAGAATCACAGGGATGCAGGCCGGTACAAGTTTGCAGATGTACTGTTGGACCAGACTTCATTGTTGAAAAACTCAACATTACAAACAAGGTCATGTGACAAACACGGTCATGTGACATTTATGTTGACAATTTTCACTATATTCAAAATCCACAAAGTGCATCTACCAAAGTTTCATTCACAAACAACCAAACATTATTGTCTAAAGCTAAGACATATATGAAGTGACCAAATTTGAGTAACCAAAGAAAGAAATGTACATAATCAAGTCAACAATGGCTTCAAAGGTACATGCATCCATGAACACCCTTGCTTCCTACCTGATGTCAACATGGTGGCCCCTTCAGGAGGGCTGAAGGTGAAAGACTGGGTGCAGGTGTCATTCTTGCACTCAAAGACATAGACCTTATCCTTGCAAGCCCTCACAAAGACTGACCTCCAACAATCAGTCCACCCACAGCTTGGGCATTGGATTGGCAGGAAGCCACCCCAAGGCCGGGACTTGACATCAGCCCATACAAACTTGGAGACCTTCAGACTACCCACAAGTGGTGTCAGTAAGAAGACGTCAGTGTGGCGACCGAGTTTGTAAGCTTGCGCCAGCATGTCACCAAATGCGAGGCCAATGGGGCAATGTTCCACAAGGACTTGTTCAGTGAATGCCAGGAGCAAATGGGACGCAAAAGATGGTTGAAAATGTGCGGCGTTGAATGCGACTGTGGCAGAGAGCTTGTGACTGTTGGAATGTCAGATAAGATAAAAAATGCAATTTAAATGAACTTACTGAACTACTGCGCGTTGCAATCCTGCAAACGAGTCACTGTTGTTGACAATTGCGCCGCAGCACAAGAGCCACAGGTAGGTTTCATCGGCATGGTCCAGGAGAGATTGTCATGGACTAAGGATACCCTCCAAGAACTTCAAGTCTCTAGTTAGTAATCAGCGGCAGAAAAATTTAACAAAAAACTTACATCTTCAGTTGGGGTGCCAGCATAGTGCTTCTCGCCATCCAAACTGTACCCAGCAAAAGGATCACCTGAATCATTGTCAGTGTGAGTGGATATACCAACCACCACACGTTCCCATGCGAACGAGTTTTTGAGGTCCTTGATGATTTGACGGACGGTTTTGCGGTAACCGGACGCGTCAGAGACAATGTTGTAGGTGATCTCGCGATATTCGATGCTGCCGCTGGTGAAGTAGGGCTGAAGGAACGAATGAGCCAAGGAGAAAGGGCTGGCCGTAGTGTCGAAGTCGACAAGGATGAGGTGAATGAATATCACCGGTGCTGCTGAAAGTTCAGCACGCGATGAGAGCTCGAGGGAAGCGTGGACCTGTAGAAAAGACTTGAGGACCGGGACACCATTAGCGTGATAGAAGCCCTGTCATAGTATTAGTTGTGAATGAACAAATGATGAAAACAAAACACTTACATAGTACGGTGCGCCCTGCTGTTCCAGGGCGATGTGACAACATATGCACTTAAAAGACACGTCCTCATTGAGGATTGTGTCTTCAGTGCCCGGAGGGAGGCGCATACACAGGCAGCACATCACTCTGGGGCAGTGGTTGCACATAAAGAGTGTATTCTCTTTAAATGATGCAGAGCCATCCCGGCAGAGGATACAGAACTGTTGGGAGAAGAAGGTACATTAGCACACATACAGCAAGAAACAAAAGACTTACCTCATTGTGATGAACCGGTTTGGACATCTCCAAACTTTGGCCCCCAGCCGGCTCTCTAGAAAGGCTCTTGGCGGCGGTCTTGAGTATGTTAAGGTGTACACGTGGCGCTGAGCCACCAGTGCACTTCTTTGCAGTGTTTTTGGTGCACACCATGATAGAGAACCTAAAATTGTAGTCAGTATGCCACAGCGCCACACAACAACAATAAAAACTCACTAGTAACGAAAGAGACGCATTGACAAGAGACGCGCGTCCACAAAACACGTGTTGACGAAAGATAGAACTAAATTTGTAGTTAGTATGCGACAGCGCCACAGAAAAAGAACAAAAACTCACCAGAAACGAAAGAGACGTGTTGACAAGAGACGTGTGTCCACAAAACGCGTGTTGACGAAAGATAGAACTAAATTTGTAGTTAGTATGCGACAGTGCCACAGAAAAAGAACAAAAACTCACCAGAAACGAAAGAGACACGTTGACAAGAGACGCGCGTCCACAAAATGTGTGTTGACGAAAGATTGAACTAAAATTGTAGTTAGTTTGCCACTGCGCCACAGAATAACAACAAAAACTCACCAGTAGCAAAAGAGACGTGTTTACAATAAACACGCGTCCACAAAACACGTGCGTTGAGCAAACGTTGGCTGAAATAGTAGTCAGTATGGTCACATAGTCACAAACAAAAGAAATAAAACTTACAAGTGACGAAGACGCGTTGACAATAGAGACGCGTCCACAAAACACGCGCGTTGAGCAAATGTTGGCCTGAAATAGTAGTCAGTATGTTACATAGTCACAAACAAAAGAAATAAAACTTACAAGTGACGAAGGAGACGCGTTGACAATAGAGACACGTCCACAAAAGACAATTGTGCGCAAAAACCAACCACAATTGTGCATGTGATATTCCGGCAAACAAGAACAAATCAACAAACGGTACATCAACCATTTCCATTTCTCCCACGGTTCGTTTCTTTCAACCTTTAACCATGTATTGCAACGCTACTCATCCTCCTTTACTCTACCATACCTTCCTTGCATCTGACCTTTGGCTACTTGCAGACTGCAGCTGCAAGTAGTCAAAGGCAGCGCTGCAGTCATCAAGCCCATAATAACAAGTAAGTTCTTTGTACATCTGCTTGACAATACTGATTTTTTTCATATTTATTTACAGTTCTTGTTAATAACTGGCGCGCTATCAAATTTGATAGCACACCTTAAAGGTGAGTCTTCTCATTCTGCCAGCGGCTCACTTTTCTTTAGTTTTTTTAGATATATTCTTGGCCATCCATGTCCCCAGGGACTGGCGCCTCTCACTTTGGGCTCTGGGGGATAATTTTTTGGCCATCCATGTCCCCAGGGACTGGCGCCTTCATATATCTGTCTCTCCTGTTAAAATCTAATTTACTAACCTGCTCTCTAGCTTTATCAGATCCACTGAATTTTCCGGCTTGTTTTTTGTTTTGTTTTCAAGTCTGATTTGTGCTAACAGTGTTTTTTCCAGCTTTATCTCACACATTGTCTGGTAGCGGTTTTGATGAGGTAAGTGTCTTTTCAAGATTCAAGATGATACTGATCTTTGCCATAGTTTTTGGTCTGCACTTGATGCGCCTCCCATTTTTTTTGACATGTTTAATTCGGTAAGTGTCACTTTAATATTCAACATCATACTAACTATCATTACAGTTGGCTCATTATTAGTTTACTTTTTTACTTTGCTTCATTTACTGTAGGGTGCAAGGCTAGGATGGAGAGGGCCCCTCCATCCCTGTCTTGCATCATTTACCTTAGTTTTTTCTATCTTAGTTTTTTCGACTCCAACTTGTACTTTGCTTGGTGTAGAACATAGACTAAATGTATCACCCTTGTATGGGCATATTCTGGACATGTGACTCATAACTTTTTGCCCAAAAATTAAGTCACATGATCGTGAGAGTAATGCAAGGTGACATGCGCCTCACTGACTGCACCTCAATTAAAGTAAGTTTGGAAAGAATACAATCTGTTTGTTGCGAGCACATCATTTTTGTGAAGGGACAGGGCAGCTGTGCCCATGGTGTCATCAGTGAGGTTGAGCCAGCCTAGCTGATCACATCAGCCTCACTGAGAACACCACAGTCTAACAACCAGTCTTCTCCAGTAGAGTAAGTTTGATTATATATTGTTTGAGCCTAACTCGTTTCAGATGCTCACCTTCTATATCTAATAGCGAAAGAAAGTGAATCATTTCTGTTGTGAGTACATCATTGCCATGTACTCACAACAGAAACGATCCACTTTCTCTCACTTATAGATATAGAAAACAATAGGCTGGTCCAGCCTATGTAGTTCACCACCTTCTATATCTATGAGTGAAAGAAAGTGAATCGTTTCTGTTGCGAGTACATCATTGCCATGTACTCACAACAGAAACGATCCACTTTCTCTTGCTTATAGAAAACAACAGGCTGGTCCAGCCTATGTAGTTCACCACCTTCTATATCTATGAGTGAAAGAAAGTGAATTGTTTCTGTTGCGAGCACATCATTTTCATGGCAATGATATACAAGCAACAGAAACGATCCACTTTCTCTCTCTTATAGATATAGAAAAAAACAGGCTGGTTGAGCCTATGTAGTTCACCTTCTATATCTATGAGTGAAAGAAAGTGAATTGTTTCTATTGCGAGCACATCATTTTCATGACTGTTGAGGTCAATGATATATCTATAAGTGAAAGAAAGTGAATCGTTTCATTTTCATGGCACAGGGTGGCTGCCCCCATGGTGTTCTTAGTGAAGTAGAGCCAGCCTAGTTAATCGAGTCAGCCTCGCTCACAACACCACAATTAAAGTAAGTTTAATTGTCTACTGTCTCCTCTAGTAGAGCAAGTTTGATTGTCTATTGTTCGAGCCTCACACTTACTCTACTAGAGGAGACTAGCTATATGTGGTCCAATTTAAAATTTAATTAGGGTGTATTAGGCTATTACATAATGTGTTCTAATTACATCACAACTAAGTTCAGTCAACATGAGTCCGGAGCGCGAGAACTTTGGTTCACTTTTTTTCACTCATGAACCAAGTCAAAAGGCAGACAACTGAGGTTTTGGCAAGTCTTGACAGGAGGACCAGAGAGATAATGGGCAATTCATCTGAACTAGGGGTCCTAAAAGATGGCCAAGTTCAAACAGAATTGCTGCATAAAGCTAGGTAACTGTGGTTCTGTATTCATTGCAGCCAGCTATTAATGACCGAGGGAATCAAGGATGAGAATAGCAGTACAGCTACAGCAATGCTTGGCATCACCCTGGTGATACCTTGAACTTTGATTATACCTCAATTTCCGAATATGAAATTGACCGGGCCGCCCTGACCATTGCACATGCCATGGTCAACCCTAGTGAGTAGGTTAATATTTAGGGTTGCACATGAAATTTAATGGAGAATTACAGTCAATGTCAATTGGGATGTAGACCGATATGCTGACAAGGTCAATTTGTCACAACCCAACAGGGATGGGTCAGCAACTGCTGAACCGGAGAGACTGAAGAAGTTCTTCCCTGAGGCTGTGCTCGGCAAAATTTCAGTTCCAGCAACCATTGTGGACAGGCACGGAAAAATTTTGGTAGTTCATCTCCCTGATATTTTGACAGCTTCTCGCATAGTATGTTTCTGGTTGGGGATTTTCCTTCAGGGCTGATTAATTAATTAGGAGCATCTCAATCACATCACTGGTGGCTTGAGAGAATCCCTTCTCAAAACTGTTGATCCTAAAGATGTCAACAAATATTGGAGAGATGATGGATATATGGTTCCAGCTGAAGGAGGGGAATTTGGGGCTGGTAGAATTACAGTAGCTCCTGCATATTTCATGCAAAGACGGGAGGTATTGTATTTTCACTTGTTATATATATTGGGTCTAGGCTTAACTCTATTCTTAGCGATGAGTGGATCCATTGGTGACCTCAGAGTCTTACAAATCAGAGAAGGTCCAACAATGGTTAGCTGCCTTGACAACATCAGAAGTTCTATGGAATGCCATTACTGGAGTTGTGGCTCCGGATCTTTTTCAAGCTGGCAACTCTGCATTTTCTCAGGCCATCAAAGAAGTCCGTCATGGATCAAAAAAGAACCCAAAGAACCCTGCTCCAGTGGACTCTTGGCCCTCAATCTTTTCAGGGCTTGAAATTATTGCTAACCGTGTTACCTTTAGCCACAGAGATGCTGGTGGATCCCCATCCCTTTTTGATCTCCTGGTCAGTCTAGGAAGAAATCATCATGCCACTTTGGCCTTGGCAGACCTCCATGCAGAACTAGATTATTCCCCTGGAGCAATGGTCTATATTGCAGGGCAGGGTGCTAGAACATTCTGTTGGTCCCTGGCTTAATGGAGAACGGGTTGTAATTGCCCATTTCATGAAGGATGCTGTGCATGACAGAATTGGGGTGCCAAGGCCATCATTTCCGATGCAGAGTTTCTTTTTAGAGTTAGTAGGGGGGAAGAGTCGGAAGAGAATAAGGAGTAGGAGATAGTATTGGGAAATTCCCATAATTATTTTTTTGGTGGAATCATTATGTAGCTGTGCCAAAATTCATGTGATGCTCTGACCTCTGTTACCTTTGAACAAACCCATAATTTCAATGACCTCAAAAATCACACCAAGACGGAAAAATAGGGCCAGAGTAGCAATATCTTCTGATGATGCCCAGCCAACAAAGAGAAAAAGAAGGTGCTTATAAATATACATACATCTCATCTAAAACTCGGAGGGGAAATGTTTCATGGAAAGAAGCGGATACTGTCTATGAAGACTATGACAGTGAGGTGGAGCCAACCTCACCGGTGAAACAAAAACACCACCAGAATATTGAAGATCATTCACTGGTCAATTATGACAGAGAGATATATGATGATTTTGGGACAGGAGGCTTAATTAGTATCCAACGAAAGACAAAAGTGAGTTCTGTGGAAATAATTATTCTTGAAAACTAGCCAACATTACAGACCCAAAATGATTTCCTCAGGGAATACTTGCCTTGGCGCAATGAATATCTTTCAGTGTTATTGGAAGTTGGAACAGCTGATCAACAATGGGAAATGTGAGGATTGTGGATGAGAGGAGGGCTTTATTCATTGTCTGTCCTGCTCAGGAGAGCACAGCTGGTGTTCCTCATGTGCTGTCAAAGCCCACCAGCACAACCCCTTCCACAACCTTCAGCTTTGGAATGGCAAGTTCTACGAGTCTACTACCCTACGGGACCATGGGTATATAATGCATCTTGGTCATGGGAGACATCCTTGCCCCAATGTGTTGCAGCAGTCAAACCTGTCACCCTGGTCAGATCTTGGAGCCATGGAAGATGTGTTTGCATACGTGGAGGGGGATACTATTTATGAAACACAGTTGGGATTGTCTAACCTGGTCATTGTGCACTCCACTGGAGTTTACTCACACTGTGTATCCTGGTGTCAGTGTCCTGGAGCTGAGAAGGACAGACATCTACATCTGCTAAAAGCAAAGTTATTTCCTGCCAGCATCACTCGGCCTCAATCTGCTTTTACCTTCGATGTGCTAGATAACTTCCTCATAGACGCTTTGGAGTGCAAGACCTCAGCTATGAGTTTCTATCAAGAGCTATGTTGTTTTACCAACAATGCTTTCCCTCATACAATACCTGTGAGCAATTTCTTCATCATTGTACCCCATGCTTACATGATAAAAAGGATCGCTACCGTGAACTTATGCGGGTGTCTCATATATGGAGGGATTTGGTCAATAGAATAAGGTTTGGCTTTGCACATGAGTCGGACAGATCTCCTGGTCCAGGGGATTTAGCTCTTTATTGTCCAGCATGTTCCCAGCCTGGCATCAACTTACCTTCTTCTTGGAAGGATACCTATGACAGGTAAGTTGGTTCATCAACAACTGCCCACTGAGCTAATTTTTGTGGTCGGCAGTTGGTTGGTCATGCAAAGATATGTTGTCGATGGAAATTTTACAGCTCAGCATATGAAGATGAAGACTCCAGAAGATGATGTTTCACTAGCAGACGGAAAGGGATACATGGTAACAGAAGGACCTTATGAAACTCACATAATAGAATCTGTGGAAGAGAAAGAGGCGAGTTGTCATATTTCATGACATGTTTCATTAGAAATGATGTCTAATATAATTTCAGAAATCATCTTGCAGCAATCACCGTACTGTGAATGCAGCCAATGTCCAGAGAAGCAACCTAAGAGCTACAGGAGTTGGGGCAACTGCATGTGCTAGGCATGGATGTTTTGTTCCTCATGCAGTAGTTGACTTCCAAAAGGGAGAGAGGTATGTTGGTTGCATTGTTGTACTACGACATTGGGCTGACTATGTAGTCAGGCAAATGAACATGGACTATTCCATCTGCAACGCATTGAAATATCCATCAGAAGATATTGGCAGTGCACTCATAATCTATGATGTTGCATGCCAGTAGAGTATCCACTTCCATGAATGGGTGAATCAAAGCTATCACCTGTCTCTTCCTCAATCAATCAAAATATTGCCAGTGGTCGGCAAGTTTCATCTAAGCGCTCATAAGCTACTGTGCTTTCCCAGATTCAGCCTTAATTTTATTACAGGAGCTGGTCATATTGATGGGGAAATCTTGGAGACCCTCTGGGCCCCGTTTAACAAGATTTCCCCAACTGCAAGGTCCATGACTCTCTCTCACAGACAGGAAGTCTTGGACGACCATATGAGGGATTCTAATTGGAAGAAGCTTGTCAGAATTGGCAAGTCCCCTTTATTTCCGAGATGTCAACTTTGACTAATGGAACACTTCAAAAGTCAAATTATTACTTAAAAAGTATCATCAAGCCATACAGGGCATTAAAGACACTCAGGGTCCGTATGAAGAATTAACGAAGTCTCTTGATCGGGCCAATATCCAGAAATGGAAGAAGGAAGCTGAACTAGCAGCTCTTCACCGAGGTGAGCTTCTCAACATCTATCAGCTTACAATGGATAAAGGTAGATTCGGTAAAATTCAACTTTGATTGGACCTGATTATGAATCATCAAAAGCTCCAACTATGGCTGAAATAAGGCTAAGGTTGACTGAAAACGAAGTGTCCACCAATGGTAGGACTGGGGCTGTTGCATGGTTGATCGAGGGTATCAACATAGAAAATGCTCAGTAAGGTGTTCAATATTTGAGGTGTGATTGACTCAAATTGGGTTATTAGAGATGGCCTACGTTCTTCTATAAGACAACTGCCAGAGGATCCAACTGCTTCTCAGAGAACTCTGATGGAAGAAAAAAGGCAGAAACTCTTGTCTCGCATCAATAAGTTCCATGAGACTGCATTGGTTATGACAAATGGGATGGAATTGGAAGGGGGAGCAGGATTGCACCAAGATGACCCTGAACTGTGCCTGGAGGAGGCTGATGGATCTAATTTTCCAGGAATTGAAGAGCTGGGGGAAGACAGTATTTTGGACATCGGAGATGATGCTGACTCACCTGCAGAGGTTGCTGAACTTTGGATATCATCATGGGGGACATCTGATCCGATCATGAATGATGTTGTCATGCCATTACATCAAGAAGAACTGGAGCCTCGAAAGGGTCAAGCAAATGACTGCCTGGAAAAGCTTCGTTAAGCTCTTGGTGACAGATCTGTGGTGTTTCAAGAGAAATTACACTCCAACAAATCAATCCATCATCAGGGTACTAGATCAACAAAGGAACTTCGAAAAATCACCTTGGCCATCAACAAACATGCTCGAGAATATCGCAGATCAAGGGCAGCAATGCAACGATTAGGGGCTGATTCTGATACAATGTCATCTTATCAAGCCCTAAAGGCTGAGGACCTTACAGTAAGCAAAGAAGTCACTGAGGAAAATAGGCATGGTCAGGGTTCTGATAGGCTAGCTTGGTTTTGGAGAATCAACAGTGCAGAGGACAGCCAGAAGAGCGAGTGGATGAATGAATGTGAGTTTTAATCTTATCTGATTTTTATGAAGGTACTGAGCTTATGTTCCCCATTCCTAGTTTATCGAGTCAATTGGTTGAAAGCAAAAGCACGATATGACCGTTGGAGTGAAGAGCTGAAGTTGGTACAGCATGAAATGTGTTGGACAGTATGGTGGTTTCAGAAGCAGGAGTCGGAGTGGAGAGCAAGGGCAGATGAAAGCATCAAGAATGGGCATAGGGCATATGCTGAAAAGCAGGCTTCCATGTGGGCTGAGTTTGCAGCTGAGGGCATGAAGAGTTTTCAAGGAAAATGGAGCATGACAAGTTGATATTAAAGATGGCTTCATAATGTAATTACTTGACTTCTAAACATACCAGATGAGGTTAGGTGTCCTCGCCCAAATATTGTAATAGTAGGCCAGCCTATGATGATGTGCAGCCAGCCTTATATTACAGGCTGTAACAGCAGGCTGGCCGATGTGGGATGGGTGGCTGGCCACTGTATACATACTGCACATCCCGTCCGGCCGGCTCAGGTATAAGTGCCAGCTAAGCCAGCCGGCCCAGAGGTGCAGGCTGCAACAGCAGGCTGGCCCATATAGAATATGGCACTATATGACCGGCCATCCACCTCATACAGACTGCACAGACTATCCGGCCGACTGAGGAATGCTGGCTTAGCACATCAGGCTGCAATATAAGCAACAAAACTATTGCAATGTTGGCATGATCAAGCTGTGGTTGATGTAGCATTCATGTAAGCAGTCCAGCTTAAAAGTAGCCATGACCATGCACAAAACAAGTCTGGTACATAACACAGTCCAGCAAGCTGGGGTGTAGGTGGCAACCAGGCTGGCCGGACCAGTATTACATACTGTACAATATGTCAGGCCAGCTATGGCATAGGACACAGCCAGGCCGGCCGACCCAGTGTTACAGGGTGTAACAACAGGCTGGCCCAGCCAGACTTTGCTAATCTTATCAGACTTGGCTGTGGTATAGGTGACAAGCCAAGTTGGCCGGCCCAATATTACATACTGCACAATCTGTCCGGCCAGCTTGGGTATAGAACACAGCCAGGCCGGCCAGCCCAGTATTACAGGGTGCAACACCTTCTATGTCTATGAGTGACAGAAAATGAATGGTTTCTGTAGTGAGCACATCATTTTCATGATACTGATTTCAGATGCTTACCTTCTATATCTATAAGTGAGAGAAAGTGGATCGTTTCTGTTGCTAGCACATCATTGCCATGAAAATGATTTACAAGCAACAGAAACGATCCACTTTCTCTCACTTATAGATATAGAACGTGAACTACACAGGCTCAACCAGCCTGTTGTTTTCTATCTCTATAAGTGAGAGAAAGTGAATCGTTTCTGTTGTGCAACAGAAACGATTCACTTTCTCTCACTTATAGATATAGAAGGTGAGCATCTGAAATGAGTGAGGCTTAAACAGTAGATAATCAGACTTACTCTACCAAAGGAGACTGGTTGTGAGATTCCAGCATGGGCCAGCCTGTTGTTGCATCCTGTAATACTAGGCTGGCCGGCCTGGTTGTGTCCTATACCCCAGCAGGCCGGACAAGCTGTGCAGTGTGTAATACCGGGCCGGCCCACATGGCTTTCACCAATACCCTAGCCAAGTCTGGCTGGGCCAGCCTGTTGTTGCACCCTGTAATACTGGGTCGGCCAGCCTGGCTGTTTTCTATACCCAAGCTGGCCAGACGAGCTGTGCAGTATGTAATACCAGTCTGGCCAACCTAATTTTCACCTATACTCCAGCTTGCTGGACAGTGACATGCACCAAACTTGTTTTGTGCATGATTGTGGCTACTTTTAAGCCTCAATGTTCCTCACTTTGAATCTTTCTGGACTGCTTACTTGAATGCCACATCAACCACAGTTTGATTTTTCCAACATTGCAATAGTTGTGTTGCTTATATTGCAGCCTGATATGCTGGGCCAGCTATTCTGGCTATGATTATACCCCAGTCTGCTGGACAGGCTGTGCAGTGTGTATGAGGTGGATAGCTGGTCACATGGGCCAGCCTGCTGTTGCAGACTCTGTATAAAGTGGCCAGCCACAAACTCGGATAAACCAACATGGCACCAGAAAGCTGCAATTTTTTCTGGACAGCTTACTCAAATGCTACATCAACTGCAGCTTTGAAGTGAGGTTAAGTGCACTTTCTACCTACCTCAGAGGCAGGCAGGCCATCATGGAAGCAGTATGCTAGCTAGCCCCCTTCTTCATACTGCATACACAGGTTGGCCCATGTGGCTCACAAAGGTGAAATTCAATCTGCAGCTGGCTGTCCCCCTTTCACATATTGCAGAGATAGGTAGGCTGAATGCACCATTTGGGAGAGGTATGTCAACCAGCCCCCTCTTACACACTGCACATCAGGGCTGGCCCATTCAGCTGAAATTCAATTTGCAGCCGGCCGGCCCCCTTTCACATATTGCAGAGGCAGGCAGGCCTAATGCACCATTTGGGAGAGGTATGTCGGCCGGCCCCCTCCTACACACTGCACATCAGGGCTGGCCCATTCTGCTAACATCAACCTGGCTGGCCGGCCCCCTTTCACATAATGCAGAGGTAGGCAGGCCTAATGCACCATTTGGCAGACATTGGTCGGCCGGCCCCCTTATACACACTGCACATCAGGGCTGGCCCATTCTGCTAACATCAACCTGGCCGGCCGGCCCCTTCCTACACCTCTGATATTTTTTTATGTGAGGCATCGGCCTGCTAGAGTTCTACAGCATCGGCCGAGCCTGGATTTACATGGACCGGCCGGTGTCCGGTAGTCCAGGTTTTGCAGGCCAATATACATGTCCTATGACAGGGTTCTACAGTAGAAGTGACTGAAGGGTCTGCAGACCGAAGTCCAATCCGACCAAAATGCGATTTTGGAAGCAGACATCGAGGACAAGGACACACGCCCTTGTCACGAATTGCTGCAATAAGAACTCTTCAAGGTCTCATTAGCAGAAACGGTGTGAGAAGTGTTCACTCTACGCACTTTTCAGGGTAATCTGCAGAGTAGGTAAATATTCTAGGGAATACTCGGCGGTATACCCCATTGTGACACTTGATGACGATGCCGTTTCTGTAGGTGTCAAGAAAGTCGTCATCTATTAAGATACGCCAGATAGCGTGAAACATCTCGCGCTTGCAGTGGGCAAGAATGTCATAGTAGCTCTTCCTTTTAACCAAAGTAATTGTCGCAATGAATTGTTTGATAGACTCTGGAAGCTGCCGAGGACAGGCTGATGACCATCAGCATAACAATACTAGTATTTGAAGTATAGATACACCTACAGTAGGAATAAATCCAACAGCGTGACACGCACTGGAAGAAGGACAGGCACGAGCATATTTAGACTGATTTCCAAAGTACAAGTAAATCAGCCATGCCGCCGCATTCCCAAACTGTGCCAAGTGCATGGAATCCAACCAGAACATGAGTCCTGCAATGACTTTCTCGAGCTTACAGCCGTCATCTCTCCTTTGCTTCTGCAGGTCGTCATGAGCCTGAATCCATGCATCTGACATATAGAGCTCATCGTGAAGGTGCTGCTCTTGACTAGTCGCAGGAGACCTCCAAAAGCGCTTGAAAGGAGTGAAATGAAACCATTTTGATGTTACGTCTGTGAAAGCAGCATGGATCACTGCTGTGAGCGGCCGGTAATGGAATCCAGGGACTGTGAAAATCTGCCCGTTGCCGTTTGAGTTCTTCTCCCATGTTGGTACAAGAATCTCTGCAGCCACCTCTTTCCACCCATCCCTTCGAAAGATCTCACTGTTGCCAAGTTCAGCTTCCAAGGAATCCAAACGCCTCACTTTGGTATGGGCATTGAAGCCCTCTAAGTCCTCGGTTTTGAAGTCTTCAGCTGATATGACTTCTCTGACTAGTCAAGTTACTTGAGCTTCAGATGACTGATTGCTTCTGCTCAGCATCCAAGTCATGAGGCGCCAGACACTCATGTTCCGCCATGGCCAGGGAGGAGCCTTTGACGAAGATGTCATCTCAGGTTCAGTATTAACACTCAAGTCGGGATAAAAATTGGATAGCTGATCTACAGAGACGAATGCGTCGGGATCATGCGTTGGTTGATGGTGATATTCTCATCCAATGCCAAATTGGTTGAGGGATGTCCGGAAAGAGTCGAATACATAGAGGATGACTCAGGGAAGGGTAGATGGAGGAGGCTGAGGTATTGGGAGTGGTGGCACAGGAAGCTCATCGCGAAATCGCATAGGCAACCAGAGAGAGCAAGTAGGGCGATTCAGGCAAGTGTCTTCAGGAACAGGAGTTGCCATGGATGGTTCAGCCTGCTCCTCAAAAAGGCCATGCGCTTGAAGCTCCGTTGATGGTTGAAGCACTGATGGAGGTTGAGGAGGTTGAGAGGCGCTGCTGGAGGATAGGTCTGGGAGTGTGTAAGTGCTACTGCCACTGGCAGCAGATGTGACCCCAGGTGAAGATGCCTGAGTAGGCGCATCCAACTGTGACGTCGTGGCATCCTCACCAGTGGTCTAATCAAATAAAGATCAGGCTGTGAAGCAGGTGTATAGTAATACTACTCACTTGAGTGGTACCAAGCTTGATCTTCTTAGCTGCAGGTGCTCCTTGCGCAATTTTGGAGGCTCGTTTGAAATGTAGTGACTGTTGCGTCAGCTGTTGCTGCCAGTGAGAACAACTTTTGCGGTGACGGGTCAGGCCTCCTGATGCTGAAAATGACTGACCACACTTCTCATGGCATTTGAAATAACCGCTCATCAAAATCTCAAGAAGTAGTAGTACAGTCAGAAGTAAAACAAAATGACTGGGAATGAGATTAACTCTCATGTTCCCTCTCAGTCTGTCACTGAGGGTGTATTCGGTGAGGCTAGGGTGAATGATTCAGCTTTGGCGCCGTGACTTGGGGGAGTCTTACATGGTGACCGTGACCGTGTTGATAAATATTTTTGGCCACCATCAATGATGGAACTGCCACCGAAATCTTAAAGCTGAAAATGGACTGACAATAGCCATGAGTAACTAGCGTCGCGTGGGGCATGGAATGCAAATAAATTGGTACATAATTCAAAGGTATTAACACTATTACAGAATGGGTGGGGATGGAGCCTTCGCCAGAGAAGGTATAGGATGAAGATGAGGTTGCTGGGGGGAAGCCTCTCGGGAAGGGAACATTCGCATTGGATGGCTTATTGATGGATGAGGTCAGTTGGAGTGTTTCGTCCAAAATCAGGCGCTTCAAGAAATTCAGGTCAGCGTAAAATGTTGTGGGACGAACGAAAGGAATCATACCAGCCCTTCTAGTACTTGTCAAGTTTGTCACCCATGTTCTTTGACAACTTCTTGAATTCGCATTTGGACTGTTTGTGCTGAGGGACAGACACGAGTTTACCTGGAAGAAAATGTTAGATGGGCAGGAAGAGAGTGAAAACTGACCTGTGAGACAAGGTAAGTCACTAGGTTTTTGTCCGGTCTAGTAATGAATGTTACCGCAAGTGGTTATGACTCAGGCTCTCGGACGAGGCACCTGCAGCGTGATTGTGACGAAAGGTCACACTACCTTGTTAGGTAGCCCCCTCAGGGTAGTGTGACGCTTTGTTCCATCAACCAGTGGCACCTCTGAGTCTTAATGTGTTATTGATGTTTTTCTTCTACACTCCTCCCTCTCAACATACATTAGTTGCATCAATGGATTTCACTCAACTTGACTATGTTCTCAAACACATCGCATCGCGGTACAGGGTGCCAGTGCAGGAGGTGTTGGATGAATGGTTGGAGAAGCGACGGGTCTGTGGTCCTGATGGATGGAGGCTCCTTGATGGCATACCTTGCATCATCGGAGGGTTCATGGCACTTCTAGGTAAGTGCGATACTTTATCATAGGGTAGAATAGCTAAATACATTACAGGGACACTCGAAGGGCGAGGGGGGAACTTCCCCTGTAAAACGCTACCTACCGTTCTAGCCTATCATGGCTGTATCCTCGGAAACTACCTGGAGAACATACTCATGCCTGGTGAGAGACGTGCAACACTTGCAAAGAGCAAGGGCATACACGATCTCTCTCTCCATGAGCGGCGCATCCTTGCAAATGCCCTCAAGGATGATGTCCTCACCATCAAATCTGTTGCAGTAGATGCCCACAAAACTCTCATGGCCTCGCGTGACCCCGTCATTGTTGGAGAAGCGCCCCTTGCAGATTCTCCTCACACTCGTGGGCGACGAGGGTTTGCCAATGGGAAGATCGATAGACGTGGCTCAACCCGTCTGCACAGCGCTTCTCCTCCAAAATCTCATGCCACGACATCTAATCCACGGCGGCTCCGCATGTTCGTGGAGGTACCACCCATCCCACTTTCCTGGAAGAGGGCGATATGGCAATGTTCACCGGTCTTGGAACTCCCACAGATTACCACCATCAAGGATGGTGCTATTGATGAAGACACCACGGAGGATGAGGAGGAAGTTGACGAACTTGTTGGGTCGCAGCAAAGGACATAATCTTACATCCTCGCGAGCCTCCCTTCCACAACTGTACTAACCATTAATCTTATGACACAACATCCGTGCATGACACTCCCTCACCCATACTCGTCGCAAGAGCTGCAATGGGCTGGCTAATGCTGTATGTGTTTGTGCTTTCTGGCTCTAAGATGGGGAGGAGGTATATCAGTGGTGGGTGTCTGACTGTGAGTGATTGAAGTCGTACGCTGCTGTATGTATAGAATACTGCTAGTCTACAAGAATTAGAATTTGCATTGAGCCGACCATGATTGCAGAGAGTATGAACTGTTATATATGTTAGATGTACAATTTGAAATACACGCAAGTAGTACTACAACAATGCATTGGGTGTGGTGCTCAACATTACTGTAGAAGGTGATCAGCTTGCAAACACAATGATACTAGTAAGAGTTAATACATACCATTTAAAATGCCTTCAAAGGACCGGCATTGAGACAATGACATTTGAAGGGGCTGCTTGGCATTGCGGCAGGTGGCAACAGGATGGTGAGTTCTCGTAAAACAGTGCTGAAAATGTCACATTTCCTGCTTTTGACTCGATGGTGACAAAACGCCATGTGCACTTCAACTAGTGCACCCTTCAGTTTCGACTCATACTGAGACAGTAGGATGAGGTTATGATCTGAATCATATGCTGGCAAGGGGCAGATGCTATGGGTTGATACCAGGCTTTCCAAATGGCCTTTGCATCGGTCGGCCACTGGCCAGGTGGCAATGTTGAATTCGGGGTTGAGGCCATCTGCAGTCGAGTATCAACAATTAGTGTACTAATGACGGACATAAGAATCATTCATGGCTTACCATGCCAGTAGTTTTCATCACCGTAAACTTCGCCAGCAGTGTCTTGCTGATCGTTATTGGCCTGGTTCGCCACGGCAATATTCAGTAATTAATCATGTGCACAGACAAGTATATGATGAACACTTACTTCAAAAAGACCATGCATCAGTTTGATCGATCTCTGGCCAAGTGAGTTATGAATGACACTGAGTTTATCATACTCTTCTGGCCTCGGGATTAATCCTTCGAAATGAGCGAGATTGTCAAGGATATCCGGGAAGTCTTCTGATGAGAATCAGAATGAATCATTACGAGCAGCAGTGAGCTGACAGCTCAATTTCACGTCTGCAAAGTGACCATGAAACATGTTTGAGGGATTAAAATTTCCATCCGGGGTGAAACTAAAGTCATTGCGACTGATCTCAAACACACCGCGGATGATAAACTCTGTGGGTTGGAGTCCGCCTCCCTTGCTGACAAGAATGTTTCCATCTCGTCCACCTATGAAATATTCAACATGACAGATAAGTCTTGGCATAGCAGCATAGAATCCACCGGCAGAATTTTGGAGTCTTTGAAGTACCGATGCAGGGGTACTAGTAGCAGAGGATGGCTTACATTTGGGAGACATTGCAGGTGGTACATGATGTGATGTGAGTCTTATTGAGAAACAAAAATCATGTTCCGTGTATACAAGTGACGCGCAGCGGCAATGACATCATGGACGTACTAGTAGTGTAAGTATATCAGACACATCTTGCTTGAAGATCAGAGTTCCTGATGGTCAGAATTGTGGGGGCAGCGGCACAATGAAGATTGGCTGACTAGTATCGCCAGTAGAGGGAAAGCTTGCGGAACATGTACGTTGTCCTAGTGGTCATGGGATCTGACTGCATCTGCGAAATTATCGGCAATTGAATGGTATTAGTTGTGCTCACATTTGAAAATTTGTTTTGCTGCACCCACATTCCGGAAAGAAGCTAGGCTGCTTGTGAAATCCCTGTGCCCATATAATGAGCTGGCGTCTGAATCAAGTCAAGTCTGAGTCCCTGCTTCCGTAAAGGACCTAAACAGACTTTAGTGAAGGCTAGTCGTAAGTGCTGTGTCACAGTTCACACATTAGGCCCCACTTGGCACTGCCTCAAAACCTTGCAACCTTGCACTGACTCGGACCCCTGTGCCAGAGCATGACCTCCCCAAGACCCTCCTGTCACTCCCTGCTTGAACCGTTTTGCATCTGGAAAATGGAGTGCTTATTTGTCATTATGTTCTTATATTACACTATACGTACCTTATTTCTTGTCAACATTTGGGAGCTGGTACTTCGGAAGGGTAACAGGAGGCTCGTCACTCCTTTGAGCATGCCAGCCGGATCATGTCAAGCGGCCCGAGTGACCTGGAGGGAGCTGCAAATATATTTTTTCGACCAGAACTCAACCCTGATCCATACCTTTTTTGCATGACGGACATCCTCCCATTCAGGCCATCCACTTCTAATGTTACCGGTCTTCAACGTTGTGTTCATGTGCTTGCAAACAGGATCTTAGGAACTTGGTTTTTGCCAACCAAGAGATTGGTACGTTGGAATGCAGGGTCAAGAAGAAGCGAAATAAATTCTGTATCAGACCAAGGTCATTTTTGTGTAAGTTTGAAATGTGGAGCGACTTAAATTTAAATACCATCACTCAACTTGAAGGAGGAACCAGCAAAGATGTCTGACACAGAATCCAGTAGTGCTGACTCTCGGCCCTCTGACTTTAATGATGGAGCTGAGGCGATCTTGAATACTACCTTTGGAGCTCATAGAGCAGGCAAGGGCGTCCATCGCTCAAGGAGCTCCACTCCGCAAAGTCACAAGGACTCCTGCCCTGGCCCAGGTCAGTTGCACGGGCAAGGTGGTCCAGTGTATTCCTGTGGGTGTTATGCTTATGGTGAGATTTTGAACTTTGAATAATTCGTCCACATACCCGAAGCGTCTCACAGATCGGTTTCCAGACCACAGAAAGGAGTTTTTCCAACTTCAGAATGACTATGTAAAGGACACTAATAAGTTGTGGCCATGTCTCAAGCGAAAAAGGTCAGAGTACAAGTTGAATAATGTGAGTATGCCTGGCTTTATCTTTCAAATTATGCACTTACCATCATATGGAGGCTCCAGACAATTTCGGCCAGGGCAGTACCAATGGGAAGAAAGTATCATGGAAACATGACAGACTCAGAAGGAGATTTGGGCACCTAATTGACGAAATTCTGGGTATGTTAGAAGCTGTGAGTAGAATCGAGGCGGCCATCGGTAGGCAAAGTGAAATCCTTACTGAAGTCTGTGACGCGGTTGAAAACCATGGCATGTGATGTTGCTCAGTGCTTGCTAGTAGTTAAGTCTCATTTGATGTACATAGACTCTTCTGGAGCAACATGTAGTAGTAATCAGTATTGATGCAGTCCAGGTACTTGACCGGGAACACAAGTGAGTGGCTTACACCGGAAAGAGACAACTATCATAGCGTCATCTAGCACGTGTTTGACATAGCGCCCAGACTGCAAACGTGACACGTGGCGACTCAGCCATGACAGCGCTGCCTTCCTTGTCACGGGCTCAATTGCCAATCGCGCTCTATCTGGACCTGGACTCGGCCACCGACAATTTGGCTGGACGAAAATTGAGCAGCACCGGACAAGATGAGTTATGGGTCTCGCTGGTTGTGTAGATCAGTGAGTGTTGTTAGAATGAAGTTCTTGAAGGTATGCTCACCTTTTCTTCATCGTCCGAGTGCACTATGTTGAGGCCATGGATATCCTGGTTCTTATTTGTAGGCTCCTAAACGCGCTGCCAAGTTCAGGTGCGCTGGAGAAGCTCATGAGCGCTCCATTCATGATTATGGGTATGTGCCATCTCTGTCTGGCCCTTGAGACTTACCAAATCCCTGCACCAGGTTTCAATATGCTCCGTTAATGGTTCGAGATGTACTGGAGAAACTCATGAGCGCTCCGTTCATGATTATAGGTACGTCCCATCTCTGTCTGTCCCTTGAGACTCACTGAATCCCTGCACTAGGTACCAATGTTGCCGGGTCCGCTGCTGAGTTTTGGGGACCTCATACCCTACTATGACCGCTCAGGTGCACCATCTGACATATTCTCCTTGTGAACTCAGATTTGATAAATAGAACAGGTAATGTAATAGCTTATCTTCCGACCTCTGTGCCAACCGCTCAGCCCTCACATGTCACTGCACGAAGCGATTATGGCGTTGAAAGATTGACACTGAGCATGCGCTCGCAGACACACTGGGTGAACTTGGCTTTCAAATGGATCTATTTTACCTTCCTCGCGCTACAGTTTGTACTAGCTCTTGGTAACAGACCAAAGAGTGAACAGACAGCATATGCAATCACACTACAGTTTGTATAAGTCAGGTCTTCCTATTCAAGCTGACTCATTATGTACAGGGTCTACATCTTCCTGGCCGTTTACCTTCTCATATGTTCGTTTTGGCTAACCAGCAAGGCATTCGCTGTAAGCTTTACTGTTCTCGAGTCCTTGCGTAGACTTGTCTTGACGATGCATGTTTGTAGTAGAACATTCTCAACGAACTGAAGAACAATAGCGAAGGAGATGCCTTTGGAGGCAAAGTATTATTTTAGCCAACTAAGCCCTTCTTGGATGTCCGTTGGCTGTTAATTGTTTTTCAGGGATTCAGGGATTATCGTTGACTGTTCTAATAGGAAGTTCTGCGGGATAGTTCAAGTTGGTGTTGCTCAGCGGACCGGAACCTTGTAAGTACATTTTTAATTTCGTCAACCCTTCATTCTTATTAATGACCGCAATCCTCTAATGACTGTTAGGTTGTTCTGAACACGAAGCCCGCAGATGTAAGCAGACACAATATTTTCTGCATCATTCATAATACACCGGATCAAAATGTTGCTGATCCTCATACTTCAGTCGGTGCGCCTTCTCTCGCACTTCCACAGCTCTCACATTCACCACTCGCATCTACCTCTTACACCTCCCAACGCATCTACCAAATCTTCCATAGTTCATCTAATGTCACAAATGAGCATCCAAAGTGATGGCCCACCTTCTGAAGTAGGTGCCTTGAAAAGGCGGCTGGCTCTTTTGGAGGCGCAAAATGCGGAGCTCCGCAAACTTCCAATGGAAGAGAAAAGGTATGTGTTTGTATCTAGTGCGTGGCTACTCTTTGAATCATTGATTTGATAGTGTACGCCTTCATCTTGAGGGTCGGGTAATCCGCAGACTCATCTGCCTTACTGAACGTGTCGAAGACCTCATCGCAGAGTTTGATAGATGCGTGACACTAGGTATTGAGTTAGATGACGATGCTACTGTGAATGACCTTGAGTGAGTCATTTCGCATTTACAGTTCCTCGTGCTGATGTGTTCCACTAGGGACGACAGGAGGTACAGATCATACAAGAAATTAGCTACTTGGTGCCCGTCTGTCCGTAGGCTCGTACACTCAGTGGTCGAGGATAGCGAGCTCTCTTGTATATACAGCAAGGTGGGATGTGTGCACCCCTTGGTGACGATACTAATCTAATTGACACATCGTTTCTAGTTAAATAAGGGTGCTGATGGAGCAAGGGCCAATGATACAACACAACTCAAAGTCACCATTGCTTCATGGTTGATGCAAGCTACCCCACCGCCGAACCCTGTTATTCATGGGCAGAGCAAAATGGGTCGTGGGTTCAATAATGATGCAACCAGACGGCTTAAATGCCCTGTAGATTATGACTGGAGTGACCCGGTGTAAGTGTTGTGTATCTCATGGTGTCTTTGCTGACCGATGTGATAGTATCCAACAAGGCATCAGGGATTATCACCCTGATTATCGTGTTACGGCTCACTCTTGGCCTGCCTTTTATACAGAGACGAATGATACGACCCACTGAACCCTACAGATGGTCTATTCAAAGGGAAATTACTTTTAAAGGTAGGTTTCATGAGCGTGACTGACAATTTACTGAGGCTACCTGTAGACATTCAAATACATCTTCACGTCTCCTACCTCCACAGAGCTGGACGACCAAGAGCAGACCAGCCCGGCAATGCTTTCCATGCAGGGTCCTCCGAAGCAGCGAAGGACTGATGGCGAGCGCCGAACTCATTGCAATGTTGCTGGGCTGTTGAACATGAAATCTGTTCAACCACGGTCAATTGCATATGCAGCTGTGCAGGTAAGTACAATAGATCACTTCTATCATCATGCTGACGCAGGTCATTCAGCTTAGGTTTGCTTTGTCTAGCACAGGGTCATGGTGTATTGTAGATGATGAGTTCAACCATCAAGAATTCTATGACAATATCGTTGACTTCCTTGAACTTGCTGCGACATCAGATGCAGTTAAGGAAGTTGAAGATCTATTACTTTGGTGGAATCGGTGAGTCATTGTGTATAGCTATAGCTGTCTGCCACTGTTCTCAATATACTGTAACATTAGCAAGGTTTTTGGACGCAAACATGTGTCCGTCTATCGCCCCCAAAGAACTGAACAGCTGTCTGTTGCTCGGTGTTCAAGCAGATGTTAGCTCGGATCTTGTGCTCATTATTTTACAGGAAGATCGGCATTGTATGTATAGTAGTATATAATATGTAACACGATAGCAACTTTTGTTGCATAGTATCTAAATAACAAATGTACCGTGATTTCACTTTTTAATGGATTGTGTGCCATGTGAGAGACTCGGCAATGCAGTACATAATAGCCATTGATTTGTGACATGTCCATAATTTGTTCTTACTGAGAGATAATACCTATGTTACACTGATGAGGCACTTACCTACCTATGTTACAGGTAGCGGGATGCTGTATTTCTTTAACATCTGTGAAATAATACTTTGTGTGCTTGAAATGTTGTACAGCAAACTCTCTTTCAAAGAACTTTCATTCATATAGGTGCGGGACTACTTGACCTACTTTGCCACTGAGATGACATTGAATTGTCCACAACAACTATGCATCCTAGTTTCACAAGTTTATTGAATCGGGAGTATGACAAATGACAAAGCATAGTTACTCATTCACGCACGAAGGTTGATATATTGATATGGGAAATACGGACGCAACTGATAACCACCTTTCACCTTTGTCACAAAATGATATATAATTGGTTATCAATTGTGTGCTCATATATATGTAGCATGACCAGTAATTGGGTCATGATGTTTCACAATTGTCCTATATACATTTATCAGACACAGCTGTCAATGAGGTTCTGTAGTATTACAACTAAATTCATGAGATTGACACTGTACACCAACCTCCATGACTTTTCTTGATCATGTGGGATAGCATTAAATACACATACATGACTTTATGTATCCGGTGCCTCTGTCTGTTCACCATATAGATGAGCCATCAAACGCACTCTCTTAGATATGTTGCATGAACAGTCGCAATACTCTAAAGTCTATGTGACGCATAGTGTAAACTTATTTTGCACATCCATTAATCAGATTCAATGTATTAGCAATCCCAATTGTGCAGCTACTACCGAATATATGTCCATGTGATGGTCATGTGTAATAGAGGATGGCATTTTAAATCCATAAATGACTAGATAGTCTGCGGTGCCACATTTTAGCCAAATGTGGTTATTATCAACATGATAATGTGTATATAATGGTTGATAGGGAACATTCGTTTTCAGTGATGCAGACACTTGTTGTCAACAACTTGAAAGTTTGCATTGCAGCATCTCAACAAGCATTATAGGCTAGTGCCATCCGAGTCGGAAACCGCCCATTAAACACGTGCTTCAGATAAATGTATCGATAAACCCTAATGCACCTGTTTGTCGACAGCGTGTCCTAGATGATGCTGGATTCCTACATAAGCTTACCAGCTTGGTGGCGGCGAGTCAAGAGCAAAACTGACATAACCTGCAGACGTTTCCATTCATTGTCCATTGAATCATCACTATTAGAAGAAACAACCACCCTCCTTGGTCTAATGATATTGAATCTACTAGTAGGAGAGATCATCCATTTCATACTATAATATTGATTGTTCCGTTTTGCAGATACAGTACATATCCCAATAATGCACATCCCAGTCATGCATATCCTAGATAATGCATTGATTTTGGCAGGGTCCCATCGTGGGCGCAGCCATTATGCACTAAAAACTCCATACTGAATAATGCATGAACTTTCGAGGGTAATATGCATTGTCTGGGCACTATTGATGGAGGTTGCATTGTTCTATGTGTGAATATAAGCACCGAAATATGCTAGATAACATATCACAAAAGTCTTTACAATGTCTCAACCCCTCGCGTTAAAGCACAAAGCTATCAATAAACCTACTCAGGAAACTGCTAAGCCTGCCAAGAGGCAGAAAGTGTCCAAGGATGCCCCCACAACGTCGGCTCAACCACCACCAGCAAAACACCTACGATGAAACCTTACTCTTGCTGATTGGATTACAGTCTATGGTTATGTTGATGAGCATCCCACTGCTAATCAGTCAGATATTGTCAAGTATTTCGAGACTCTTCCTACTGGGGCGCTCATACTTATCTACCACAGTCATAACAAGGTCACACGGTGTCACAAACTGTGACATCCAGTGTCGTGCATATTCATGGTAATGCATGGCATTTTCAGCTTCCCGACCATATGCATTATTGGGATATGTACTGTAGTTGGTCCGGTAAACACACCACTTGCAGTCAGCTACCATTTTCTTTCCTCGATGAGCTGGCGAAATTCTCACTATCCGCATGTAGCATCTGAGAATGCCCACTGGTAGTTAGCATCTGCAGCTCAATCAACATGATTCGTTATTCTTCGACTCGAGACTTGCAAGCACCATAGGTCCCGAAGTGCCGTGTACGTCTGTGCGATCAACTATTGCAGCATCTCCACGGGACCCGATTATCATTTTGTTCGAGGATGCGACGGACGAAAGAATGACAGAAAGAATTCTATAAATGAAAGTAGTAAGTACTCAGTCTCAATAGTCGAAGACTCGGAGACTACTAGCTGACCTATAAACGAAAGTAGTAAGTACTAGAGTAGTAGTCAGTATCGTAGTAAAGAGTCTAAATAAATAATATCATACCTCAGTCTCAATAGTCGAAGACTGAGGTGCTAAGTAATATAAAACTTCTAATGAGCGCATAGCGTATTATGTAAGCGAGTGTTGTTTGTTGTTTTCCGAATCAAAGTTATCACTTATCTATAATCTTTCAACACGCCCACTCAACGAATCAAACTCTCGCCGTTCAACACTCCCATTCCTTCGATGAATCGTCCATGCTTCTCGCGCGCAAGTGCCTTCGTCAAAACGTCGGCAATCTGTTCGTTCGTGGGAACATACTCAACGCATATCTCTCCTTCCTCCAACTTTTCTCGGATAAAGTGATACCGGATCGCGATATGTTTGGTATGTTCGTGAAACATGGCATTTTCGGCTAACAGAATTGCAGATTGATTGTCGATTTGGAGAGTTATTGGGGGAGTTTCTGAGGAGTTTAGTTCTCTGAGTAGGGTCCTCAACCAAACGGCCTCCTTCGTAGCAGCGGCGGCGGCCATATATTCTGCTTCGGTACTGGAAAGTGCGACTGAACTTTGCTTCTTCGAACTCCAACTAACTGCTCCTCCAGATATTGAAAATATATATCCGGTTATCGAACGCCGGTCATTGACATCTGAGGCCCAGTCTGCGTCGACGAACGCATGTAAGTCCGTTTCTGACTTCCCTTGATATGTCAAACATTTATTGACGGTCCCGCGTAGATACCGATAGACACGCTTTAGAGCGGTCCAGTGCGCTTGTCCGGGGGTAGCTGCAAATCTGCTCAGAGCACCTACTGCGAACGCGATGTCCGGACGCGTCGCAAGCATCGCATACATCAGTGCACCTAGGGCACTTTGGTAAGTCTTCGCATCGACTTCGGCTTCATTCACTTTGATGAGCTTGGTATTAGGGTCCATTGGCGTATTCACAGGACGACTGGATCCCATATCGAAACGCTCGAGTATCGATTCGATGTAGCGGCTTTGTGACAGCTTGATCGTGCGTTTATCGCGGTCGCGAATGATTTCCATTCCCAAAATCCAGCGCACTTCTCCCAAATCGGTAAGCTCGTACTCTGCTGCTAACCGTTTCTTCAGCTCATCTATCATCTTCTTATCCTTTGACAGTATCATTTTGTCGTCAACATAGACGGCGACTATAATGATTGTGCCGTTCTCGACCTTGTAGAAGACAGAATGGTCTGCATTGCTGCGTGTGAAGCCGAGAGACTCGAAGACGGTACGTAGTCTTTTGTACCATGCTTTGTGTGCCTGCTTAAGACTGTATAGAGCACGTTTGAGCTTCCAAACTTGATTCGACGAGTCACGAAAGCCAGGAGGGAGCTGCAGGTAAATTTCCTCATCCAATTCACCGTTTAGAAAAGCTGACTTGACGTCCATCTGATGTATATCTAGATCGTACTTGGCTGCAAGGGCAAGAAGGACTCGAATCGTCGAGAACTTCGTGACGGGGGCAAAGGTGTCTGTGTAGTCGATCCCTTGGACCTGCGTGAAACCTTTCGCGACGAGTCTGGCCTTATAGCATTCAATTTCGCCATGCGGGCCGCGCTTAATTTTATAGACCCATTTCGAGTCTACAACCTTGCGGTCACGAGGGCATTTGACTTCCTCGTATAGGCCAATCTTCTCGAAGATCTTCAATTCTTCGGTCATCGCCGTGTACCATAGATCTGCGTCTGGACGATTCATTGCTTCATGGAACGTCCCAGGCTCACCATTACAAGCTACTGTAGCCTTGTAAGCCTCCCCATGTGTCTCCGCAGCCTCAATCGCGCCCACTGCCTCAGGTATGTCTTGTATAACCGGTTCCTCTCTTTGAAGTGTTGACTTCTCATAGGCGTTTATGAAGTAGCGAGGATCATCGTCTCGCATAGGTGCGCGTCGCGCTCGCGAGCTGCGCCTTACTTCAGGTGGAGGAGCTGGGCGAGGATATGGAGCAGGAGGTGCTATTTGTCGAGTGGCTGAAGGGGTTAGTGGTTGAACACGGTGTGTCTCCAATGCACGCGTGTTGTTCGGTGCTGACATTTCCTTGTTCTGGTCTTCAGGCTCGAACTTGACCATGCTTAGAGGAGCTGGTTGTCCATCGACATCATCATCCTCGTGGGGAGATTCGGTAGCTGGATTTCCCACTTCCGGTGCGTCATCGTCTGATAATTCTTCTATAATTGTTGACTTATGAGGAGCTTCCAGGCCTTGCAGGTCGTCTGTGTTGTGCTTTGCAGCAGTGACCTGTTTCTCTGGGAGAAATGTGTCTATCTTGACACGACTAGGCCCTTGCGGATCTCCTTCATCGAAGACGACGTCTCGCGACTCAAGGATGCGACCGGTTGGACGATGCAGGCATACATAGGCCTTTCGATGTTCGGCATACCCAAGGTTGACGCATTCGAGCGATTTCACACCGAGCTTCTGGCGTTTTTCATCAGGTATGTGTACATGGGCTTTGCACCCAAATACCCGGAGATGGGATACTGATGGTTTGTTCCCAGTGAACGCTTCGTGTGGTGTAATGTCTCCATCTATCGCACGAGTTGGAACCCGGTTCAATATGTGCGCCGAATATAGGATCGCATCTCCCCAATATGTGTTTGGCAGTCCGGCGTCTCGTAGCAAGCTGCGTGCCATTTCAACTAAGGTCTGATTCATCCGCTCTGCGACACCGTTCTCTTGTGGTGTGTATGCGTTTGTTTTCTCATGATGGATGCCTTTTGACTCGAGATAGGATACAAATTGTTTTGATCCATATTCCCCCCCACCATCACTACGAAAATAGTTGGGGCGTTCTCCAGTCTCGGTCTCTGCACGTTCAAAGTATCCTTTGGTGAGTGCGAATGTTTCATCCTTGGTCTTCACAAGTTTAACCACGAGATGGTGTGAATAGGCATCTATGAATGTAACGAAGTATCGGAAGCCGGCGCGCGACACTGTTTCCATGGGTCCGCATACATCAGAGTATGTGCGATACAGGACTCCTGGGCTTTCGACATTTGATTTCGTTGGGATTGGGTTGCGGTGTTGCTTGCCTTCAAGGCAAGGCTGACACACTGCCTTATTGTGAGTACTTGAACCCTTTATGTTGATCCCATTGACCATATCTTTCGAAATTAACTTAGATATGGAGTCGAAATTTATGTGCCCAAGTCGTCGATGCCATGTGTCCAGAGTTGCACTCGAATGGAGCATGCGCGAGGTGAGAGCTGTTATGGGGACATCTGGATCGAGTGGAGCTGATGGTCCTTGCAGAATGTATGCATGTGCTTTCTCGCAGGGCTTTACTCGAAGGACGTATAGCGAGTTTCGCTTATGTGCGAGAGCGACGGTCTTTCCCTTTGCAAGGATCTTGCATTGGGAACCATCAAAGGTGACTTCGAGACCTTGTTTCGTGAGGCGGGGAACTGACAGAAGGTTCGCATTCAGGTCTGGTATGTGATAGACTTCCTGCAGGATGGAGTGGATGTACTCATTTTCACCAACATAGACGTTTATTTCAGCATGTCCGATACCTATCGCATCTATCGAGCGTCCATCTCCGATGATTACTTTTCCGGGTGGGTTCAGTGTGCGATATTTGATGAAAATTTCCCGCTGACACGTCATGTTTGCAGATGCGCCAGAGTCCACTATCCAATCATCTTTGGATGCGGATGTAGAGTGCCCATGTGCCATGAATAATTGGAGCGGTGTGTCATGGTCCGACGAAATGCGTGCGACCTTCGCAGATAGGTCCGTTTTTCCTTTGTCTTTGTCCACCTGCTTCCCACTCTTTTCAGCGTCTTCAGCAGCTTTCTTCTTTCGACAGTCCTTCTCCTCATGTCCAGGAATGTGGCAGTATGTGCACTTTTCCTTTGACTTCTTCTTGTCCTTATCCTTGCGCTTAGGCTTATTCTTTTGCGCAGGTCCCTTCGCAACGAGCGCAGATTGGCTATTGCTAGCCTGTCGTTGCCTTTCCTCTACCAGCACTTGGGCTATAACAGTTTTGGTGGTGAGTTTGTCACTACTGGACATTAGGATCGTTCGAAGGGTGGCATAGGATGAAGGTAAGGATATCACCATCGCAACTGCGACCAGTGAATCGTCGAGCGGCTGACCAAGCGAGGACAGTATGAATGCCTTCTGTCGCATGGTGTTTAGCTGCGTTTCCATAGGAGATTCGTCCGTCAAGGTACTTCGAAACAATTCGCCAATGAGTTGAGCAATTGTTTGCTTTCCTCTACCCTCGTATCGCTCACAGAGCTTCTTCCAGGCATCTTTAGCTATTGGCACATAGAGTATCCCATTCAAGGGATCATCTTTCAGCGTGAGAGCTATCTGAGCTCGTGCTTCCTTGTTCCTTGCTAACCATTCCTGGTGTTGAACAGGGTGCGTTGTGCTATCTGGCATCTTTTCACTTCCTTCAACAATTCCCCATAGTCCTCGAAGGTCAAGGATTAACTCGACACGGTACTTCCATAGTTGGAAGTTTGAACCGTCGTTTTCGAGGGATGGAATATCATATAGACGATTTGAGGCTTGTGCAGTTCTGCTTGTAGATGTAGAACTGGATGATATGGAAGGGATGTTCGAGGATGAAGCAGCTGCACCTGACTGGGCTGCAGACACTGAGGGTGTGTTCGACATTTAATTCTTGTTTCGGTTGATGTTCCTTTGTGGTACTGGATTGATTCTAAGCACCAGGGCTCATAACCTTTTGTTCGAGGATGCGACGGACGAAAGAATGACAGAAAGAATTCTATAAACGAAAGTAGTAAGTACTCAGTCTCAATAGTCGAAGACTCGGAGACTACTAGCTGACCTATAAACGAAAGTAGTAAGTACTAGAGTAGTAGTCAGTATCGTAGTAAAGAGTCTAAATAAATAATATCATACCTCAGTCTCAATAGTCGAAGACTGAGGTGCTAAGTAATATAAAACTTCTAATGAGCGCATAGCGTATTATGTAAGCGAGTGTTGTTTGTTGTTGTCCGAATCAAAGTTATCACTTATCTATAATCTTTCAACATATCATTCATGTGCCGGTGCGATCTGCTATGTCTTCACTTGGCTGATGAATCATCCTGGTGAGGTTCTTGCAGCTATATGCGGAACCTTGCTTCACCAGTTAGTGTCACATTATCATTCGTGTTCGATATTCTTCAGGCGTGTGGTACTTGACTTTGTTTTACAAGCAAGGGTGGTATCTGCATGTCCACAGTGCTTGTGTTCCTGGACAGTCATCACCTGAAGCCTATCAAAGTCTGGCCTGCTTGGTTCCTCGCCACTTCCCCGATGGACCGACAGCTCGGAGCCGTCCGGTTCCTTGATTAATCAGTACATTCTCAACCCTGAAGGTCCACTGCTATCATCGACTCCTGTTTGAGTCGACCAAGCCTTGCCCAGCCCTCGATCACTGTTTTTGTTCAAGGTACTGTTATGTTACTTTGGCTATTTGATTACAAACAATGTTCTACCTTCGACAGACGGTGTTCAGTCATCTGCCTTCCGGCAAACATTTAATACTGATGACATTACTATTATTCAAATCGGCCGCATCGCTGATTGAAAAGGAATTTTCTTATTAATCTTTCGAGATTAGTTCGTTCCAGTATGATCTGATCTTCTACCGTGTGTTTCGAGCTTGCATTTATTTGCACATTAACCAGTACTAGGGGTATGCGGACAGACTTACGTAGATGAGACATCACCGGCATGATGGCAGCTGGACTGTTCAGGGACAGCGTCCACCACGGCATTTAATGCCCTTCTGACGTTATGCCCAAGATCAAGGCCATCACATCACTGCCTTGATGTCATGCAGGTGTCACACTTTTGGTCTACAGTATGTAGACTGCCCTAGTAGGAGACCTTCATTCCTCTATTTCATTGTATGATCATTACGCAGGTTTTTGGGCCGGAGGGTCTATTAGCCGCGCGCGATATCCATTGTCCTCCATATAGATTAGATCATCGTTCCAATCCACATGCAGAACATGCTATTCAAATTCGGTCCTATGGGCGCTGCGCGGCAGATCCGACCGGTATGTTCCACTCCATTCTCTATCAATTACCACATCATCTGTCTTCCAGTGCCTACGCAAGTCTCCGCATCAACTGTACTAATCAGTCACCTATGAGGATTAGCTCCGCGCAAGGCGGCTTTGTCTGCGCGCCTGTTGTATGTATATAAATGCAGCTAGTCAAACCTGATTTGTTACCGCTCTCTGACCTACTCCAACAATGAGCTCTATTGAGTACCACTATCCCGTGATCGGCCGCAAGGGCACTGGAGGCATATTTGATCGCTTGCCTATCCAGACGCTGGAGAAGGACCATCCCTACCAATTTGCATTGTTCATCCTTGCTTTCAATGCGATCCAGCAGCGTTCCGATGCTCCCCAAGTTGTAGAAGAGCCTGCAGCCACCTTCATGGAAATTGCGTCAATCCACGGCAGGCCCTATGTTGAATGGGCTGGTGACCGCAACAAGGATATTTCAGCTGACTATAGCGCCAATGATAAGAAAGATACCAATCCCGTCCCTTCCAGATTTGGAGGTATGGCCATTGCCTCCGCTGTTGTTCTCTATAGCCTGACAATATTGTGTAACAGGTTATTGCAAGTAAGTTGATGGTACCTCCTCTCGCTCTGTTGATTTGAAACCTTTCTTCAGCCATGGCGCTGTTGTGTTTCCCACCTGGCACCGCCCATATGTTATGCTCATTGAGGTATGTTCAGTGCACGATCATGCCTGACGCGCTACTAGTATTAAATTCAGTTCTATTGGGTTCCAGCAATCGATCGGAAACATCGCTGAAACATTGGCCCAAGACATTGAAGCTAATAACCCGAATGAACATGGAGTATGGATCAAAGCTGCAAAGGAACTGCGTTTTCCGTGCGTGATAAATCATTCCCGACACTGATACAACCATTTATATCACACGCAGATACTGGGACTGGGCCGGTAAGGATGTACCCGAGAATGGCCTTCCTCCTGTTCTGTACGAAGAAAAAGTCGAAATTATGGCTGTTGGTGGTAAAAAACAAATCGTCCATAATCCACTCTCATATTTCTCGTATGTCGGTGGAGTCCCATCCGACTTTAGCGATGAGAAGGATGACTCGGTAATGTTACCTTTTCCTTTCCAGATCACTGAACTTGCTCAAATGTAGTCCGTAGACAGGACAAGTGGCGTATTTCTCCAAGTGGCAGAGGACATACCGCTACGCTTCTAGTACCCCGGACCCTGAAGGCAGTCATACAGACTTGTTGCAGAAGTGAGAATCTATGGGGACATGTTGCGCGAGACTGGTGCTGATTTTGCATTTGTAAGGACATTCAAAGCCGGGGCAAACGATCTGAGACGCAGAGTCGCTCAACTCTTCACATTCAATGATGACGAAAATTCTGCGATAGCGTACGTTTTAGTTTCTGCCAATATTATGTATGTATTGACAAATACGCTAAAGTTGGGATGACTTCTCCAATCATACGGCAGAATCGAAGAGAGATATGTTGAGAGCCGATGTGTCCGAGGGAAGTAAGGCCGAGAGAGAGAGAGCCGAGAAAGGAAAGGACGATACGGCCAAAGAATAGAGCACATCGAGTGCGAGCGTCTCCAAACGGAGAACGTCGACAACGTGTCAACGTCGGCAATCTTTTCGTTCTTTAAGTATATATTTTTCATCAAAGCTATTGCTGGCAGACTCACCGTATAAGAGGACACTGTTTTCGTCGTTGCATCTCAGATTCGAAACGAATACTGAGACGTAAGTACAAGTCCCACTGTAACGTTCGAGCGCAAGCGCTGACGTACATCTAGTCGTACCTTTGTTCTAGGTACAAACAATTGTTAATAGAGATTCGAAATGAATACTGAGACTTGTACCTTTGTTCTAGCGTGTCGTAAAACCTCCCGCGTGTATCGTTCCTCCACAGGTTATGAGCCCTGACTCCTCCATGGACTCGTCGACTCCCAGCACCAATTCAAACCTTTTTAACATCCCGAAGCTCGCCGAAGACGGCTCGAACTGGATAACCTACAAGGAAAGGATGTTAACGGCTATAAGTGCACGAGGACTTACGAGATATACCGATGGACGAGCTAAAGAGCCTACGCCTTTCGTAAAGAGCTCTACGGGGGCCGTTACGAAGCCGGATGGTACAACACCTACGCAGAAAGAAATCGATGAGCTCGACGCAAAGACCGATGAGTATCAACAAAAGAACTCACTCGTAAAACAGCAAATATTTTGCACGATCACAGATCGGCTGCTGTTACGCGTCCAAAAGTTAGCATCCGCGTCCGAAATCTGGAAGGAAATATGCCACATACATGAAGGCAAAACCGAACTCGTCCAGATAGATCTGAGACGGAGGCTCCAGGAGACGAGGTGCGAAGAAGGTGGTGACGTCAAGGCTCATTTTTCAGAGCTTTTGCGCCTGAGGGAGTCGTTAGCTGGAATGGGGGTAGCTGTCGTTGATACGGACTTTCATGCCATCATCCTAGGGTCCTTACCTGAATCCTACCGGCCGCTACTGTCGTCGATGAACGCAGCGGCCAAGATAACGAAAACTCCCCTCTCGCCCTACGAACTCATCACCATCATCACAGAGGAATACGAGCACCGGTTACTCACCGAACGACGTCCCAACAAACGCGGGACCAACAGTGCGCTCTCCGCGAGAACAAACGCAGGGAGGAGCACGAGCTCACAGAGCTCGGCTCCAAAATCCAACCCCGATGCAGTCTGTACGAACTGCGATCGTAAGGGCCACTGGAAGAGTGACTGTTGGCGAAAAGGTGGAGGAAAAGAAGGTCAGGGGCCGAATCAACGGCAGAGACAAGGAGGACGCACCCAAAAACAAAGTGCCAATGTAGCCAAAGAGCCGGAGCCAAAGGACAACTACGCTTTCGCTACGTCAGACCTCGCAGTCATAGCAAAATCGATGGACGTACCTCCAGAGCGCCGAGGAGCAATAGTAGACTCCGGCGCGACCTCTCATTTCTGCCCGGATAGGGCAAAATTCGTATCCTTCGTTGAGATCGCCCCGCAGAAGATATACACTGCGAATGGAGCTACTGTCAATGCGACAGGACGAGGAGACGTGAGGATGGACTTACCGTTGGGCTCGAAACGAACGACCGTGACGCTAAAAGACGTCCTATATGCCCCCTCCATGGCATTTACCCTTATCTCCACCAATAAGATCGCCTCCGCCGGTTTGGCCGTGCTGTTCGAAGGAGGAATGTGCAGGATACTGTCTGCTCCCCCCGAACGAAGGACGATCGCAGAAATACCCCAAGTCCAGGGACTTTACGCTGTAACGTCTGACCGTAAGCATCGTGCCAACGTCGCCAGGACAAAGCTTACCATCAATGATGTCCATCGTGCCCTAGGGCACGTATCACATGCGGCCCTTCTTGACGCAGTCAAGAAGGGCCTAATCCTGGGCATAGACATAGATCCGGCGCCCACCATCCAGTTCTGTGAAGTCTGCGTGAAAGCTAAGTCAGCTCAGCAGTCCTTCCCAAGAGAAACGAAGATGCGCGCACTTACATACGGAGAACTAGTCCATACGGACCTCTGGGGACTGGCGCAGACGACGAGTTTGGGAGGCTGTAAATATTATGTCAGTTTCACGGACGACTTTAGCCGGCAGACGCGACTCGAGTTCCTCAAACAAAAGAGTGACACACTTACCGCGTTCAAGTCCTATGAGGCATGGGTGGCCCGTCAATCACCAGGTGTGCGCGTGCGCAAAATCCGTTTGGACAGAGGAGGAGAGTATCTGAGCGCCGAGTTCGATCAATACTTGCGTCAGCAAGGTATAGAGCGGCAGCTAACAGTGCACGACTCACCCCAACAGAATGGTGTCGCCGAACGACTCAACCGGACACTCGTCGAGCATGCGAGAGCAATGCTCCTAGGCAGAGATATGCCAAAGTACCTGTGGGCCGAGGCCGTTAGTTACGCCACTTGGCTCAAGAATCGCCTACCTTCAAGGGCGATCCCAGGTAGCACGCCCTACGAGTTGGTGCGCAAGTCCAAGCCGGACTTGTCGCAGGCCCATGAATTTGGGGCCAGGGTCTTCGTCCATATGCTGGAGGCTGGTAAGCTGGAGGCGAGGGCGGAGGAGGCAGTTTTTGTGGGGGTAGACGCTGAAAGTAAAGGATACCGGGTGTATTGGCCCGGCAGACGGCGTGTCTCGGTGGAGAGGAATGTGACCTTCACGCCGATCCTGGCAGCCGATGGTATGCCAGACGAGGGGGAGTCTGCTGTAGTCAACGAACATAACAGCGGCAACGGTAATAATAACTCACCTAGTAGCGTCCAGCCCATCACCATGCCACAGCAACCTCAACCTTCTACTCCTCAGCAACCTCAACCTTCTACTGCTAAGCAACCTCAACCATCTACTCCTGAAGCGAGGTCGACGAGGGTAAGACCACCCCCAGGGTACTATGCGGCGCTGAATGAGGGCCAAACGGCAGCCCTAACCATGGAAAGCCTGTTGGAAGCGTCAGAACTCGACCTCTTGGATGAAGAGGCGCATATTCACCTAGCATTGGCCGCCGTCCAACCAGAACCGACCCTCCAACAAGCCTTGAAGGGCCCAGACGCTGCAGAGTGGCAAGAAGCCATCAATTACGAAGTCAGTCAACTCGAGAAGCTAGGTACATGGGAAATCGTAGACGCACCTCGAGGCGTAAACCTTATCCCATGCCATTACGTCCTGGCCACAAAGCGCGGGCCGGACGGCGAGAAGCTGAAGCTTCGCGCGCGCCTAGTTGCAAATGGGCAGCGCCAGAAGTATGGGGTCGATTTCTTTGAAACCTTCGCCCCCATGGCCAATATGAGCACGATACGTGCAGTCCTAACGATGGCTGCTCAGCGCGACTGGGAAATACACCAAGTCGATATTAAAAGTGCATACCTATATGCGAGTCTGCAGGAGGACATATATATGCGAGCGCCCCCTGGATACTTGAAGGATGGTCAGGAAGGGAAGGTACTGAAGCTGAAAAGAAGCTTACCTGGACTCAAACAAGCAGGATATGAGTGGGCGCAGGAGCTAGCTGGAGCCTTCAATGAAATGGGCTTCAGCAGGTCAAAAGTAGATCAAGCCGTTTTCTACAAACGCACCTCGCGCGAACACGTCGTCATCACCGTCTCTGTCGACGACATGGCCGTCACCGCCAACCATATATCCCATATCCATCGGTTTAAGTCCGAGCTGCGCGCGCACTTCGAGATTAGCGACCTAGGGGAGTTGAGCTGGTTATTGGGGCTGAAGGTGACGAGGGACCGCGTAGCACGCACCTTGACGCTTTCACAGAAGGCATACGTCGAGACGATCCTCGAAAGGTTCCACCTGGAGGACGCGAAGGTCCTGCACACGCCCATGGAACCAGGTACTGTCCTTTCCATAGATCAGTCCCCTGCAACACACGCCGAACTCCAAGCTATGCGAGACGTACCATATCAACGCGCGATCGGTTCGTTAATGTACGCAGCTACGAGTACCCGGCCGGATATCGCTTTTGCGGTGGCAACACTGTCGCAATTTATGAGGAATCCGGGGAGACCCCATTGGGAGGCCACCAAACGCGCCCTGCGGTACCTGAAAGGCACCGCAGACTATGAGCTGACGTTGGGATCCAGCGAGGGGGGAATCGAGGCGTTCGTCGATGCCGATTGGGCATCGCAGCCACATAGGCACTCCATGAGCGGGTACATCATACTGCTCCATGGAGGCCCCGTTTCATGGAGCGCACGCAAACAGCCTATCATAGCCCTGTCAATGGCTGAAGCAGAGTACATAGCGTTGACCAGCGTGGCAAGGGAAGTACTTTACCTGCAACTCCTCATCCGCGAGCTCTACGACGTCCAAGACCTCCCCACACCCGTCTTCTGCGACAACCAAGCTGCTATAGCGTTAGTCTCGATGGGAAAATTCCAATCGCACACCAAGCACATAGACCTGCGATACCACTTCGTACGCGGCCACGTGAAGGACGGTACCTTCAAGATAATCTACTGCCCCAGTGACGACAATGTCGCGGACGCGTTCACGAAGCCATTGGCACATCCCCGACTCCAGAGGTTGAGGACATTGATGTGTTTGGATAACGCTCGAGGGGGAGTGTTGAGAGCCGATGTGTCCGAGGGAAGTAAGGCCGAGAGAGAGAGAGCCGAGAAAGGAAAGGACGATACGGCCGAAGAATAGAGCACATCGAGTGCGAGCGTCTCCAAACGGAGAACGTCGACGACGTGTCAACGTCGGCAATCTTTTCGTTCTTTAAGTATATATTTTTCATCAAAGCTATTGCTGGCAGACTCACCGTATAAGAGGATGCTGTTTTCGTCGTTGCGTCTCAGATTCGAAACGAATACTGAGACGTAAGTACAAGTCCCACTGTAACGTTCGAGCGCAAGCGCTGACGTACATCTAGTCGTACCTTTGTTCTAGGTACAAACAATTGTTAATAGAGATTCGAAACGAATACTGAGACTCGTACCTTTGTTCTAGCGTGTCGTAAAACCTCCCGCGTGTATCGTTCCTCCACAAGATATAGACTTCATCAACCGAGGGTCGCTTGAAGGCGTCCACGACACTGTTCATATATTACTTGTGGGTGGAATACTACATTTGTTCCAACTTTAAAGTATGCTTACTCCAGCGATGAGTTAGGGCGGGAATGGACAAATGGTTAGTTGCTTGCGTGCGAATGAAGCTTGTTGATCTATATTAACCAAATTTGCAGGCTTATCCAGACTACGTGAGTAATTCCTTCTGACCCTCTGCAACGATTTTGGCGCTCACGTTCACATAGGCCGGTTTTGATCCTATTTTTTTCCGTACGTGAACAAGTGCAAATTACCCGTCTGCATTACTTACGTGGTTTCCTTCAGTTCACCATTCGAATGTGGACAGGCTATGTACGATTTCGTTCAAGGGTCTTATCTTGTCATTGAATCTCTTTAAGTCGCTCTGTGGGAGTGGTGCTACACCGAATATTGGATGGGAAGCGGATATGAACGGGATGGGGAGCAATACCCTTGGACCCAGGTATGGATTGGACGATGTTCTAACACAGATACTCAATAGTTGTCTTTTAGGCACGTGGCACGTATGCGCAAGTTTACAACGAACAACTCCTTCCAGACGGGGCGCTCCAACCATTCCGAACGGAACAAAGAGACTACTGGTCCTCTTCTCAGACCCGATTTTTGCACGAACAAAGCTACCCCAAGTGTATGTAGTGATCTTATCTATTGGATGACATAAGTTTACGTTGAACAGATTACTCGTTCCCCGAGTTTGAAGGAATTAAGGTCGATCAAGCAGCCGTGTCATCCCAAGAGCGTGCCTCGGCGCGCAAAAGGGTGCAAGCCTACTATGATTTTGATCCGCAAACTAAGGCGAAACAGGTGACCTCGCAGGCTTGGAAGCACTTACCTGTTCCAAACAAGGAAGATCCTGCCGTTCCAAGTGATCATACCGTTATTCCTCACTACCGCACATTTGGTGTGCATGTGAAACTTCTGGAGCATGCATACAACCGCTCCTACTCATTCCAGCTTCACCATAAAATGAATGCTCATTCGAGTCCGCAGCTCGTAGGTACCATTGCAGTCTTTGCAAGGCCAGATCATTCTCCTTGCAAAGCATGTGCTGTGCGTCGTGAAGCAGGATCCATAGTTCGCGGTTTGATTCCCATTCCTCCCGAATTGATCGAGAGCATCATCAGATCAAACGGAGGCGGAGAATCAGGAGTTTCGTTCGACCAGACCCTCGCTCACATCAAGGGCGAGTTCGTTGGAAGGCTTGTGGATGCTACTGGCTCAGAGCTTGCCGGGGCTGAGGGAGGGCTAGAGGTGACCCAGGTACCACAACACCGTGTCGCTTCTCGTAGAGTTACTCCCGTAGAGATTTCTCTGGTGTCAGCTGCTGTTGCTGAGCACGTAGAGGACAAGAATCGTCCTGTCTACCTATGTGACTGGCAGCACCATAACAGTATCTTTAACGTAAGTTTGTTTTTCTTTATTCTGGCAATTCGCTGAATATGACTTTTGGCAGGGTGGATGGCTGGCGACTCACAAGGATTCGGAGTGATGCAACGCGCTTGGTTGAGTTAACTTGTGAAATACTTGGATTCAATTGGCCAAATTTACCACAATGTCGAAGTATTTTATCCATGTACAATACGTGGTATGCTGCGATTATCTATTAGGGTTCTTCCCTTGATTTGGTCTTGGACGGGGATGTCAAATTCTGACGCATGTAGAAGAAAGCGTATGAGGCAGGTCAAAGGGATAGGTAGAAGCAAGAAGGTCCAAGGAATGGCTAAATGCAAAAATACATAAAGCACAAAAACGAAATGCGAGGGTAGAATGGTAAGAGACAGTCACTCACTGAAAGTCCAGGTTGTTGGACTTGCTCTCAAACATGTGTCAACTTGTCCCTTTGACAGTTCTGTCAATACAGCAGTCGTTGATATAACAAAAAATGTTGCGAGAGGCTCAACATCATTCTAGAACGTAGGGGGGCAGCGGAGCCGATTCTTCCCCGACGTTGTCGGCTGGTCACTGGTTCGTGCAGCGGGGTCGGTTGATTACTCAGTTGTTCAGTGTATGAGATGCGGAGATTTACAGTTCGAAGTTTAAGGCCATCATCACTGAAAGTACTAGGTTGAGGCCATAAAGTAAAGAGAAATGTGCAAAATGCACGCTGAATCTTCAACGCATGATCATCTGGTTGCAACATTGCGGACTGAATAAGGTCGAGGAATGGTTTGTTCCCTGACGAAAGAGATGAGGTAGCATCGAGGAAACCTCGAATGTCCGGCCGAGGGTAGCCGCATGCGATCCAGCAAGCTAAAGTCAGATTGTGAGTAAGACAACACAGATAGAAGGAAGTGATTTGAGGTGACGAGATGCAAGCTTGAGCGTCCTAACATTCATCGAGCTTGCTCGCAGATGATCGCATCGGCGTTACTTACAAGAAGTCTGCTATGAAGCCTTTGTATTTTCCCCATCTGCGAGTAGAGTAGAGGATGGCGTTGGTCTAAAAGCGTTGTTCCGTATTGCGTTCGATTTCACCTGGCTGTGACAAGTTGATTGTCAATCGCTCAGCGTAGCACCATATATCAGCATCTTACTCCAACAGGTTACAGCAGGCCTACCGTTGCTTCTTCATTGTAGATTCTGAATGCATGAGCTTTTCGCGAGAATGGAGAATGCATGTTGTTCGAGCTGAGAGGGTACAATACTTGATAAATATCGATATATTGAGGGAAAGCGAGGGGAGCCTAGTTGTTACCTCTACTGCACTCATGCCACCAGACCTGAATAGGAAAGGAAGAAAGGGTTTCCGATTAACGTTCAAGTTGTCAATGCACGCAGTACTAAGTTCGAGAACCTCTAATTAGGTATCTGTTTACGATAATTTGTCGCACCTTTGACACCTCCAGCAGCAGAATGACATCTGGGCCAAAAGTACAAGCCAAAGCGTGGGACACGACGGCAGCCAACGGCACTCCCAGCTGTGTTTAAACCACGCTCACTGTTTCAACGGCCATGCCAATCGATCCCGCCAAAGCGCCCGCCGCTGCCGCCTAACATCCCGTTGGCTTCTCCTTGCCCGCCCACCTCCTTGCCACCACGTCAAAGAGAAAGTCAGTCATTGAGGGTACGGTACATCAGGAAAGACGGGCTCGTTGTGTCGCTGCATGGCAGGAAAAAGGCTAACATCCATGGAGGTAAGTCCTTGGTGCTGTTGCAGACAGTGAGTTGAATGAGAAACAGTAACGGACACAGCAACTTTCATACTCCGCTTGGAGGTGCCGAATCTGCCAACCGATTATGGGCCTGCCGTGTTCCAGACGTTGTCCGGAGATGCCCTCTGCAGCAGCTACTTGCCCAGGATTCCGAGTCCAAATGATTTCTGTCGCGCGTCACACATAAATTACTCGGGGTGGACATTCTCAACATTCCTTCAATGTTGTACACCTCCGTGTACACGGAAAGTTTATTTGTATAGTCAAACCACATAGAAGAAAGACGGTCATTCCAGGAATCGAGTGTACTACGCTATCGAGATTCGATGGCGCCAAAATATGCAGACTCACCAAATCGTATGTACAGTTGTTCAATTGCAACTGAGACGCCTGTCGTTAGCAGAAAGTCTGCATTGCAGCATCTCGACAAACACTCTAGTGCCACTCGGAAGTCGGAAAGTGCTTCTTGCTTTGTCTCCATCAAAAACGTGCTTCAGGCAAACCCCGATGTGATTCGCTTGTTCGTCCACATTGCACAACATCACATTTGATGTCCTAGACGACGCTTGATTCGCATACACTCTCAGCCGGACGAGGCCGGAGTCTTAAATCTATACACAATGCAGAAGAATTGTGTCCACAGAAATTTGTCCACAGCCGCAGTGGATGGAGATCACAGAACAAATGAAGAGGCTTCAATATGCGTGTCCTCCCAACTTCTACCTGCTCGACTTGCCTCGTATATCTCTCCATCTGCATCCCCAGCAGAGGGGTTTTTATTTATCACACAATCCTCATCGCTCGACTTGATCACTGATCCATATTCCGCTTGTGCCCAGTCCACTTTCCAGCGGTCGAGTTTCTCTTGGAGTTTTTGGTGTCACCATGAAGCCCTTTTCATCCCCGAAGGCGTCCTCCCGCCCCGTGCTTAGAATTACTATTCCAAAGGTTAAAAATACAACTCCATGGCGCTCCATGGCACTAGTGTTGCAATCTTCGAAAATTTCTGCGTTTTCGTGGAGACGATTGCTTCGTCCCTCACGAAAGAACAAGTCCCGTGATGGCGAAACACATCTCACCGAAGGTCTTACCTCACCGTCTGAGACACTTGTCGGGTCTCCGATCCAGGAGAAATTGACTAGCCCGAAAGTGATTATTACTCTTATATTATAACTGATTGTTCTCTAATTCGTTCTGCACAGCTGGTCCGTTTCGATGAGTCGCCGACGTACTTCCGCACCAGGCGCCGAATCAAACCTCACAGGTCCCCCACTCCAAAGGGGGCATTGCGCTCCTGTCTTGTTATAAACGTTTGTGCACTCTTCGACATTGTTTCTCTCATCAATTGACGTCACTGCTTCCAGAATACCGACCCCTTCAGAGAGTTTCTTTCGGATGATGATGACGACCATTCCGTATATGAAGACTGCCTTACATCCTACCCTGGCTTCTTCAGGGACATGGAGGATCTTCTAGAGCGCGAACATCTCGAGCAGATAGAGATTGAAAAGTCTCGCTCTCCTTCCTGGGAGCTCACTGAATTTGGTTGCACGAAGATGGATCCGCAAGATTATTTAAGCTTCTGCTTGGCTAAGCAAGCAGAGAGGCAATTACGACAAGACATCGAAGGGTGTAGAAAGGTGGTCTACGACCATCCGATGACGTTACGCTGGCCTAGCCGGGAGATTACTGAGCGACCAGTTCAGGAACCTTCGGTCATTCCGATGTCACCCCCACGACTTTCCGTTCCAGAAACCACACCAGTAACTCTCAGTTGGCATGAGCAGATTGCATGCGATGTCACTGATATGCTGATTTCGCTATGCATTGGACTTACCATTTACATGTGTATTTATATTTGGGGCATCTATTGTTTCTTTAGTGGCGATTCTCTGGATGAAGAGTAGCTGCCATCGGTATTCAGGGGATCGAGAAGTCTATTATCTAGCGCTTAGCACCTTCCTATTGCAATGTACTATTGTGTAAATCAATACTTGTTATGCCCGGTCGGTCGCCAGCTGTTTGTTTGTACCTATTGAAATCACAAGGTGCTGCCTTCCTTATTCGATACATAGATTTCTATTTAGTTACCGCAGTTGTATGATGACCGCCCATATCAGTCTACCCGTGTAACATGTCAGAAACAAATTCTCCATCAACCTCTGAACCATCGCGCGCTCGCGGCAGAGGTCGTGGAAAGTCCCGTGGTGGGCTAGGAAAGTACCTCCGCGCACGAGGCCGTGGTCGAGGTGGCCGTCCAGCAGAATTCCACCAGCGCCTAGTGCTAGAGGGCGAAGAAGTGGTCGATCTCGAACCTGATTCGGAAGAGGCGAAAGAGTTGCAAAAGAAGTACTCACGGCGGCAAGTTGGATCCAATGCCGATCGTTATGTAGAGCTCGAGCCTGAGTTGAATTCTGACGGTGAGTGATCAGTGAATGATGTGTTGGGCATATGTTCAACACCGTGTAGGAGAAGAGATTCGTGAGCCGGAAGTAGACCTGTCCTCATTTCTTGCGAGACAGCGGTTGTCGGACGTGTCAGAGACAAGTGTGGTTGCGGTGCCTCAAGTCGATGATGATGACATCGACCATGAACTCGCGCATATCTCGTCTCATCATATCCCACCTCCGCCGCCTCAGAAAGGACGTGTACAGGTTATTGAATGGGATGCAGAACTTGAAGAAATGAGCCGCGAAAAGGCCGCTGCAGATGCAAGTCGAGGTGACTTCGACTAATGATACCCGGTGTATAGACTGATGTGGTTGGTAGATCTGAAAGCACGATTCCGTGCAAAATCAGAGAAGCTTAAAGCGAAACCTCTATTTGCACGTGATAGAATACAAGGTAGAGTCTTCTCATCAATACATATAATCACACTGACATTTATTTCACGTCTCGGCCAGATGATAGCTACTCTGAAGCGCCAGCACTTCCCACTGATGCACCAAAGGCGCCCAAAGTGGAGATGGAAGATTTCCTTGATGAGCTGCTTGGCTGACAGACCTTATTTATTTTCATACGTATTAGAATCTTCTTGCATTGCTCTGTCGGATGAAGCGACCTACAAAATGGTTACTCTTTCGGCACCCTCTTCTATTCATGAGTCTACGGTTCGCCCGATGCTGATGATCCGATTGTCGATACTTCGACCACGAAACGAAGTGTATACTGGCAGCTCAATGATTATAATCTTAGATATCGTCCATATTTTCCATTCAGACCGGTTGGACATGTACATTGGAAAAAAGGCATAATGTCATAACGTCATATATTCATAATCATAATCATAATAATGTCATATGTTTTACTTAACGCCATACTATGTACTTGGGCGAGATAAGGAGTGTGGAAGTAGTGTGCTGTAGGACTATTTGTCAATCTAGTACAAAGGATGAAAAACGAACATAGTAAGCCAGTCAAACGACGGTGAAATATAATGATAGTAATACACACATCATGAAGCAAACAGAAGATGAGCGACAGTTCATAGATATCCACGGGTGGTGTGGTTTCGTACGATTGCGACGGACGCAGATGATGGCCACATAGAGCTATCCGGGTCAACAGCGACAGGGTACAGGCTGGGTGGCGAAAAAGGACGGTGATATGCGGGGATAACATAACGCTCCGTGCGGCGCGTCTGCGATGATTGCCAGGGATGAACTTCAGATGGTCTTTCGAGGTCGGCGTCAACTGCACATGTTGCTATATGAGATCGTGAATAGTTCGACGATGTGCGAGAGAGATCCTCGGGGAATTTACCTTTGGAGTAAGGGGGCAGCGACGATGGATAGTCAGCATGCTTCTCGACGTCTTGGTAAACGCCGGAGGTCATAAGGTCGAAAATAGGCGTAAATGATGACTGGAGTTTGATTCGAGGAGGGGCAGGGGTACTATAAACGGGCAGTGAACCAGCGGATTTGCCTTTCAGTCTGACGAATGTGTGAGTTTGACAGCGATCATAAAATAGGATGGGCACCAACCTGGGAGCATGCGACGTCGACGTCTGCATTACCGGAGGATTGTAGCCAAAGCGCTTTGCAATCCATAGGAAGTATAACCGATAGTATTTTCTCGCTTCACTTGAGAAGCCAAAGAGAACAAAGAACGCCAAGGCGCAAACCGGAAAGAGCCACTGCGTCAAATCGATGGATCGTTTGTAGATTGGATTGCTGGTCCATTCGGCCGCAGGAATAAGACCGACGTGCGAGAAATTGTAATGGGTATTTGAAAAAGATACCCATCGTTGGAGGGGTATGCTCGTGCCGGAGATATAGGCACTGTAGATACTAATTGGCACAGTGAAAGCCATATCGACGACCGATAGTATCATCAAACGGATGTAAAGGTTGTCGTTCATCGAATTGTTGCCTGATATGAGTGAGTTGAACGCCACACGACGTTTATAGAATGCAGCAACAGTCAGGCCTAAGAAAAATGAGCTTGGCTATGTAACAGGACGAACGGACGAACCAGAGTAAACGAAAGAGATACAGCCAAGTAGCGAAGGCCACATGTAGATCAGGAAATATGCTGGTATTACATTGTAAATTGCTGGCCAGCAACCTACATCCTCAAGGATATCGAAACGGTGACCTTGAACAATGTAGTCTGTCCAATACGATCGCGTCAGCTGGCATTGTATTGTTGCTGAAAAGCTACGTACGAAGTGCCATAACTATGACAGGGATACCGATTGATATGGAAAGATCAATCATGACGACACGCCATTTCTGTCGACTAGTTAGCACAAGCACTCGCTCACAATACAAGAGGGTCTAACGTACATCCTGATATGTTGCCAACCCGGTTTTCATGACAGCTATACTGTACAAGCGACGACTAATGCACAACGCGGAGGCAGGGATGCCAATACTAGCTCCAATGAGCAATTTGGTTGCTGCAGGTCCGTTAGTAAAAACAACACTAGAAAAAGCATCGGCGATTACTCACAGATATCACACCATACGGGTGCAACATTCAAAGCGGTGTTACGCCAGATGATGGAGTTCACGAATTGGATGAGACATGAGATGGCTACCCAGATCATATAGACGCAAGTGCCTGCATTCCATGCTTGTAGGTGCCATGGGAAGGGGATGAGAACAAGGAAGAAACCCAAGAAAGAGACAACGGGGATGAGAGGATACGTTGGATTCACGCTATAGCTCATGGCAACTTGAATATTTGGTACTGTCGTCGGCGATGGAAACAAAGATGGTGCTTGGGAACAAATGTATAGTGGGCTCCGACTCTCATCTTTAAAACGCTGTCACTAAACAGACAATGACGAAGCGGAGTTGGTCGATAATTGTGGTCTTTGTGGTTTTCGTTACGTAATTAATGGACACCACAACGCATATCGTGGTACAGTGTGGTTGATACCGCGTAATCTCGGTAAGAACCCTGTGCAAAAAGATGAATGCACTGTACCGTATTCTCCACAAATTTCGTAATATTCTTTGTTGTTGCATTTGCTCTGATCCAGGAGTCTTCTCTGCTCTCAAGTGTAGCTGATCAAATTGGTACACCAAAATATGCTGCCTTCGTTATTTTGCGAGAGGTACATAGCGCAATGGTCAAGAGCCATATGTATGCAAGTGACACAACGGACCGGTAGATATCTATTACTTCGTGCAAATTGAGCAGTCTTCAAAGCTTAAATACTGCAATGTGCTTTTCATTTAACAGGAGTACGCTTGAAATAAGGATGAAGCTTGTGTACTCTGCAGGGTCGACCTGGTGATACTTGTCACAGGATCCAATGTCATATCCTATATTAACTTGACTATCCAAGTTGATGAGCCATGTGCGCAAGCCTCCGTAATTCACTGAAGCGCATCATATGGTACCATGATGTTCTCAAATAGTACCTTGAACTGATCCAGAACTTCGAATATTATCTGCTATCCTGAGTACGTTGTGACACATAAGGATGTATTCAAGGATGAGAAAGTTAAAACCGGCGAACCAAGTGAGGGTCAGGTGAAAGAATTGCTTGCGATCGAGCCTGAAGTCAAGGAGAAAATGGATATGATAGATATTGTAGAGCGCTAGGCTTGTTTAGAGAAGCTTGCAGTGAGTGACCTTATGGGGCATTGATTGACCATGGAGGGGAGGTGTTATCCTAGCTCCGAATTGATCTCCGTACAAGCCCACAACAGCAGTATCTAATCCCAGAGGAACAGTAGCTGCGCTATCGAAGGACTCCGAGTCGCTTGCAGGAATCTGGAATGAGATGTAACTGACGATGTGGTCAATGAACCTTTCTCACAACTAACCTTTGCTGTAAAGCTCGCGGCGGTCAAAGCATATTGCTGAAATGCAGTAAAGTCATCGGTGAACCTGCCGTGCGCCAATCTGTAAATCAAGGTTGAGCCTATGCAGACAGTAGACCTAGGAAAAGAAATGACTAACACTCTATCGCCTTTGCGGAAGTTGTGGACACCTTCCCCTGGTTCCTCGACAATGCCAGCAATATCCATTCCAAGAACGGCAGGGTAATGAGACACATAATCTGTGTTCGTGATATTGTAGTCAAATGGGTTCAGAGCTGCAGATTGTATCTTGACCAGGAGCTGCCCGGCATCAGGACTGGGGATACTGCGGAAGCTGAGCTCAAGGTTGCCCTGCCGGGGAAGAACAAGAGCTTTCTGTTGTGGAGACATGTGAAAGTGATATGGAGGGTAAAAAGGATTGTACGCGTTCCAACCTTGCTACCTATATAATAAACTGAAACTTGATGAGCAAGAATATATTCATGCAGACGGGCAGTCGAAATGGCGAATTAGTAGTAAGGATCATCATCTACATCAGCTCAATAACGAGCTCTGCACGATAACGCGATATGTACGTGCTGCAGTGCATGTGATGCGACAACGCCAGGAATGCCAGTAGGAGCCTCGCTAGTGCAGGTGCACTATGCACTATACAGTCTCTTCAAGGATGAGTAGTACGCTGGAATCCCACTCCAGTCAGTCCCTGGCCAACAGTAGAGTGTCGAAGAGGCATGTAGCGTACGGTTGATTCGGACATATGGTACACAAATAAAACAAGATACTACGCACCAGCAGCCCAAATTCAAAGTTCATCATGATATTGTGCAGTCTGTATTGCAGATCTTGAAGGTTCGTTTCCTAGTCCGAGCTCATTGCGCCAACAGACAACTCGGAGAGATCGATTTCGTCATATCCTCAGGTCTCCGAATCTGAAGGTGGGTGGTCATCAGTAAATTGGTGAGACTCAGATATTCCCAACGGAGGCCGCCCTTTCCTAGATATGACGTTATAAAACAATGTAAAAGTGATACAAAGTGCCCAGTACACACTTGTAATTGGGACGTATTGTACAATCAATTTACCGTGTTTCCTGAGGGTGAGCGACCAACTTCGTTCCAGACACCTGTCCCAATTTCAACCTTTCCAGTCCTCCAATAATACCTTCAAGTCCGTTCGGGAGGACTTCATACTTGTTCGGCTACATCATTTGTGAGTTATAAATCCAGGACAATACTCGCAGAACAAACCTTTAGAGTACCATCCGAAAGCCATTTTTCGACCATAGCCCAGGAGCTGCTGCACAGCTCCACATTTTGAGCGGCATCTGTGCCTGCGAAGGTCTGAATCACCCTGCGCCCCTTGCGTTCATTTTCCTCGACTGATGCAGGAAGAGTTAAGACGAGGGTGCCATTTTCTGCAAGTAATTCCCATGCTACAGACTGTGTTTCTGGCAACGAGATGGCGTCATAAACAAGTTTGATAGGGTCATCAGTAATTTCGCTGATAGCCGCCAGCAATTGTTTTCCAGAAAGCTTGCGATCAAAGAAATGAGTTGCGCCATAGCCCTTGACAAGCTCTTCATTGCTCGGAGAGGCTGTAGTGATGATAGGATAAAATCCCGACAGACGAGCGAGTTGGATAGCTGCAATACTGTCAGGATGCAGTTGAAGAAGTAAGTCTCACTCCGCTTACCGTATGCACCCACGGAGGAAGAACCGCCAAGGATGACAATTGGTTTCTTTAATTCGTGACCACCAGCGCCTTCCTCCCAGGGAGGTGTTATCCTAGCTCCGAATTGATCTCCATACAAGCCCACAACAGCAGTATCTAATCCCAGAGGAACAGTAGCTGCGCTATCGAAGGACTCGCTTGCAGGAATCTGGAATGAGATGTAGGTGACGATGTGGTCAACGAACATTCACATGACTTACCTTTGCTGTAAAGCTTGCATCGGTCAAGGTATACTGCTGAAATGCAGCAAAGTCATTCGTGAACTTGCCATGCGCTAATCTGTAAACCAAGGTTAAGCCTATACAGATAGCAGAAAAGGACTGTCTAACATTCTATCGCCTTTGCCGAAATTCTCGACACCTTCCCCTACTTCTTCGACAATGCCAGCAACATCCGTTCCCAGAACGGCAGGGTATTGAGTCACGAATATACCTGTGTCCTTCATCTTGTAGTCAACTGGATTCAGCGCTGCAGATTGAATTTTGACCAGGAGCTGTCCGGCCCCAGGACTGGGGATGCTGCGAGAGCCAAGCTCAAAGCTGCCCTGCTTTTTGGGAAGAACAAGAGCTTTCTGTTGCGAAGACATGTGAAGGAGATGTAGATGGTAGAACGATTAGAGGCCTTCCAGCCTTGCTACATATTTAATACATTGAAACTTTTTGATGAGCGAGAAAGCATCATGGATTATTCATGATGATGAGCGTTACTTAGTAAGGAGCGTCAGCTTGATATAATAAGCTGTATAACAAAGTTTATGTGACACATGCATATGGCACAAATTATTGGAAAGAAGCACGCACCTTGAAGCAGTCGAGTCATGGTGCAACAGCCTGCTAACTATTAATAAGCTATAGACCCGCTACCTGTTTCGGCATTCGGTTTTTCCGGCCATTTTCATACAAACTACGTGTGCAATATTACATCCTGTTATCTACTTCCCTTTGTCTTCACGAATCACTAGCACTGCGCATCGACTGGTACATCGTACAGGTATACAGTGAAGGGGCCTGGAAAATGTAGGGACAGTGATTGTATTGTCAGGTGCGAAACGAACGAATGGAGAGAATATACAAATGATAGTAAAGCCAATGAACGAATGCAAAGTCCTCGTCAAATGAGGCACACCATACGGGTATACAGTGAAGGGACTTGGAAAATGTAGGGACAGTGATCGTATCGTCAGGTGCGAACGAACGAATGGAGAGAATATACAAATGATAGTAAAGTCAATGAACGAATGCAAAGTCCTCGTCAAATGAGGTACATCATACGGGTACAGTGAAGGGACTTGGAAAATGTAGGGACAGTGATTGTGTCGCCAGGTGCGAAGTTCGAACGAATGGAGAGAAGGCTGATATACAAATGATAGTAAAGCCAATGAACGAATGCAAAGTCGTTATACTGCATGCATACCCGAAGGGCGACCATCACGGTCACTTCCGCGAGAGTATTGCTCTTGGTATTTGAAATAACTTGATGCTGGAGGGCTGGTATACGGGAGAGCCGGCGCACAGTCCGACTTGAGCGGGCCAGTGCCTCTGGCTGGGTCGATATGGCAGGGAGACGTGGAATAAGGCATTCCGGTGGGTGTTCCCTTTTTCTTGTTGCGCAAATCGATGTTCGAGGACTGAGGCATGTTGCATGGTCTGATCAAATATGTCAACAGACTGGGAGGAGCTATGACCAAAAAAAAATAGATACCTCGCCAAGTTAATTAGTGGGTAGAGACCTGGAGATGGTCGATCTTGAACCCGGAGGACATGACGCCGAATCCATCTAGAAGTAGCACCGTACTCTTTGACTGCGTCTCGGCCGAATGCAAAGAAAAGGAAGAAGAAAACGGACGCAATCGGTATCGTGAACCAAAGAGCGAATGTCCAGGCTAATTCCGAAGGAGGGATAATGGCAAGGGGGAAATAAGCAACTTCTAGCCAGTTAGAATGTACATTCTCCCAACTGATCCAAGGACGAAGGCCTGGTCGCATGGTCCACCACATGTTGAGTATAGTCACCAGCAAGCCAAAGAACATCTCGACGATTGCCATGCTCATAAGGCGAAAATAGCGACTAGGGGTGAGTGCTGAACCAGTATTTTTGAGATGCTTGGAAAACAATGCCCGACGCTTCCAGAAGTGCGAGAAGGCAGTTGCTAGGCATTTGTGAGGTCAGAATGGATAGTGCTGTGAGGCAGAAAAATATTCACCTGCGAATATGCCAGCGCCAAGAGAGAAAACCAATGGTGGAACCCAAATCAAGAATATAGAAGCAATAGACACATAGATTGTTGGACGACAACCAAAACCTTCGACAATATCAAATCTGTGTCCCTGGACAATGTAGTCTGGGATATGTTAGGAAAGACAATGATATGAAAGGCACGGGACGCACGCAAGGCCATGTATATGAGAGGAACTCCGAAGCACAAAGCAGACTCCACCATCTGGCGACAACGCTTTTTAGAGTGCGTCAGGTTGAGGTCTCGAATGGCGGCTATACGTTCAAGATGCATGCAAAGGCTGAACATGGCAGCAGGTAGCGCTACCGTGCTGCCAACTTCAAGCTTGGTCGCTGTAGAAGGATGAGCAAAAAAACAATACAGGCGGCGAGCGGCTTACTGATGTCACACCATACAGGAGCAATATTTTGGACGGTATTTCCCCAGATGATAGCATTTATACCGTAGATGATGTTGCCAACGAAGAGCCACAAACTGATGGCGATGGTTGAGATGTTACCAGCGCGCCAATGCCATGGAAGGGGAACAAGTACAAGGGTGGCACAGATGAAAGCAGTTACTGGTAATTGGACGAACATGATGTGAGGAATGCAAGGTGAATTTTTGTCGTAGAGACATACTGTTATATAACAATGAAAGATTGTGGATCTCCGAACAATGGGATGTGGAGTCTCGACATTGACGTCACGTGCATTCACAATGGCGATATTTGACTCTGCGAATATTTGCTCGACGGTGTCGCGTACGTAGATGTAAAGTGATCGTGATGATTAAAATATTAAGGAGTGTAAATGACTATGAAATGAATCGAGTCGTCTGTATGTATGTCAACATAAGTACGTGCAAGACGAAAAAGGAAAAGTGCCAGGACTTGTGAATTCGGCTCCTTCCGAGCCGAGCTCGTCAACAACTAAGTCCAACATGTCTTCCTTCCGAGTCCTTGTCCTTTTGCCTAGTTGGACTCCTGCTATCGCATCTGCCGCACCATGCAATTTGTCTATACAACTATGGGTCCTGATATCGTTATCCTCAACACTCTCAGAGCGCAAGTCATCGCTGATATGAGAACCTGCTGCGCGAGAAATCGGCCGCATACAAAATGCATTTACCCCTCAATACGTGGTCGATAATCCTATCCAATAACTGATCCTTCGTACCCATAAAATACAAACCGTGCCAAGACGCTATAGCTTCCAAAGAACTTGGACATATGCACTACCTTAGAAAACAATGACTGAAATGATTTAGACACTCTCATATGCGCCTCGGCTACGAAAAATACTGATAGCTTTTTGCCTGGGATGTGCTTCTTGTTTCATGTTCACCTGTTCTCGACACCGAAGATTGCACCGATTGGGGCACATGCTGGAAAGACGACGACCATACGTGGACTCGGTGTCGATCATCATGATACCGTTGAAGT